CAACGCGGTGTCTGAGAAGCTGTTACAATATATGTTAAAGTTGCAAGATACTTTTCACAGAAAAAACTGGGTTACATGTACAGGAACTGTCTGTGCAAAAACATGTATGGTTATGTTTGGATAAGTCAAAATACAGGAGCCTTAAGCATGTGAATGTGGTCTTTTAAACAACGTATTGCCGACAGTTTGATACAAATATGGTCTTTTGACAACCATACCTCTACGAGATATGGCACACATACTACATTTAAAGTGTTGTTTAACGTTGAACAATATGTATCAATGGATTTGCCATTTCATTTAACCTTTTATATTTCGATTATTTAAAGTAAATTTTAACGTCAAACAAATTGCAACACGTCAAGCTTTTTTTTTTACATTTTTGGTCTGTAATACATATCATATAAAACAGATTAAAACCCTAAAAACATCTAACCTTGGCAAACAAGTAAAAAAAAACAAATCAAATTTTGCATTTGTTTCGAGTTTTTATATGGCTCTGCATGTACACCATATTCAGAGATTTATAAATATTGTAACCGGTGTCTAGGTAAACAAAAGTTATGAGATCGCGCGATTTAAATAAATCAAAATAAACACATTTACTACCTGGAGTTGGATTTAGAAGCTGTTGTGCGAAGTATGCATTCATTTTCATATTATATTTACATGTTTTTTACAACTTTTAGCCTCGAACATGCCCAAATATCTAATACTATGCATGAATTGTAATGGGTTTTCGCGTGTAAATAAATCAGCGTTTGTCGTTTAAAACAGTAAAGATTTTTTCAATTTTCATCAGATATAGATAATAATTAGCCTATAATATTAACATTCCTTTTGGTAATAAGATGTTTATGAAGCAGGAAAAATAAAAATAAACAATTTTTTTAGTTTTTCCTTGGTAGCCTCAAAAACAATGCACGAAATCAAGAAAATTGTTATTTGTTAAATTGTTAGTATTTTAGACTCATAAATGCATGATATTTATTAACAGAGTATTAGTTTTTAGTATAAAAATGTCATTGTGTATGATACATACTAAGTTTTCATTTCAGATTAATTGTGTTACACTAAGTTGGGCGGGATAATGCAATGTGATTTCCAGCCTTGGAAGATAAGACTTGAAAGGTAATACTGAGCGTGATATATTATCTTTTTTAAACATACTAGTGATATATGGGATGTCAGGGGAGTCAAAAACAGTTACAGAACGTACAATAATTATGTAATTTTAAAATTGTGATTCCAAAACAGAGAAAAAAATTATGTTACAGTCACAGTTCAAATTGTTGTTGAGCTCCATGGTTTAACTAAATTGTGCTCAAAATCTTGATGAGGAGCTATTTTCGGAGTTAATTGTTGCTTTGCCGGTGGTTATAGATCCCCATTTTGAGTGTTAGATTTGTTGTGCAATTTTACAAACACATGACGATAAGATAGTTCCGATACAAACGTAATGAATCAGAGATGTCTCTGCTAATATGGATATATCTGCATGTCCATATTCACCGTCTGTCTTTCTGTTTAACAACAAGACTATCTGCCTTCCTATCCGTCTGGCTCTCTGTGTTTTGTCTTTACTAAATTATAAAATTTTATAGTTGTAAAACTTGATTCTGAGAAACTATTAACCTGTGTAGAACATCTGCCTATCTTTAATAGGGTATGTCTATCTGTTTGTTTCCTTTCCTTATGTTGTCCGTCTTAAATTTATCAAAACTATAACATATGGTCTGTGAATCATATTAAAAGTATGGGCCTGAACGAGCAGATTACTCATTATGGATATTAAGAGCGATTAATATATAGTTCAGGTTCTTTGTTTTATAAGCCAAAAAGGAAAGCCTTGACATACCTACAACCATGTGACCACAGGGGAAATACCTCCTTTTATTTAATTCTGTTTCTCTCGTCAATAACAGTTACAGATGTTATTTAAATATCTGGTAAAAAGTGATCCTCAGAAGCATTTAAAGAGCAAATTTACATAAAAACAGCAGAGTCGGTTTGATTGAGTCTGTACATGAGGGATAATGAAAAAGTGCAACATCCATCACGCCCCCTAGCACCGGATTGAGCGGTACTCAATTTTCAACACTTAAAGTGCTAGACTCAATGGTCCTGAAGGGCCAGAAAAATATAACAACACTGAAGTGAAGTACGGGGCAACTTTTTACGGCTGCCACATGGCACTTCACACCTGCTGTTGTGATGTATAAATATCTGGTAAAACGTGATCCCTCGGAAGCATTAAAAACAGCAAATTTACTGAAAATTGCAGACTTAAAATAATTGAGTCTGTGATCATGAAAGCTGTATTTGACGTGGAATATATGTTTCGTACTATAGTGCACCCAAATTTAAAGTATGCATTTCTCTGAAGAGGACTCCACTTTTTGGGTAAAAATTTATTTCTTTTTTTTTTCATATGATGATAAGTAGTTTTATACTTAAGATCAGACAATGCTTTTTGTAATCTCTTTTTTTAATTCCATTTTAGGTGACTGGATGTAAAGCCGAAATATTAGAAAAGGAGTATTGTTATGATTACGACAAGAAGAGAAAACTGCAAGAGACAATAACATTATTAGAAGTTCAGAAAAAAGAAAAGATTTGAACCTATATTTATTTAAGACAATAAATGTGTATGTTGCAGAGAGAACATAAACTTCGTGGCAATGTTGTCAGTAAAGTTGAAACCTTCGACTTTCAAGTTTAAATCAAGTCATTGTGTAAACCAAGACACTTTCAGTGTGAAGTGATGTCCTCGGAAGAATCAAAGGCGTAAAGGGCCTCCTGGCAACTAAAATACGTTACCACCATTGTTGTAACAGTAACAGTTGAACATCTCAAGACGTTTTTTTTCATGAAAAGTGCACAACTTGCGAATCTAGTGAAAAAGACCATCGGAAACAGCAGTTTTGGAGAAGGCCATTTAACCACTATGCAAAACTTTGAAAGTTATTAAAAAGACAATATATATTTTATAAAGTGAGTAGGTTAGTAAACTAATGAGCATAGTGAGAGATAGAGAGATGTGAAGATCACTCTGACTTATATATCTCTTTATATAATAAGGAAGAAAACATAAGATGTGATGGCATTCAAAGGTGAAATATTTCTAAAACCACCCTAAATGATACATGATTTAAAATTGACATTTTGTACTTATAAAATTCTAAATTTTTAAACATTATTATAGATATTACTACAGCTCGTTTTTAGCATTAAAATGAAGATTAAATCTTAACTTACTTAAGTGTTTTGCAATATAAATAATTGGACATTAACTGGCGATGATAAATAAAGTTCTTTCTACGAAATCATGTTAAAAGAGATAAAATTAATGGGTGAATTTTGGATGGATGAGACTTTGGTAACGTACAAATATGTTAAATGACACAGCAAAAGTCTCTATAACGAGTTACTTTCAGAAATTGACTATATTACCAGATGCAGTGTTTCTTCCTACGGATTTTAAGAAAAATAACTAAGTTTGTTCTCTTTATTTTCATAAATCTTTCAAAAATAGTTCAAAATTGCTTATGTCTTGTAATTGATGTAAGGTATGTTACATTTTGCTTTTAAAATGTCTTAAGTTATTAAGTTTCTTTATCTATATAAGCTTATGTGATATAAATATTACTTGGAACTCTTTACAATTGTAAATATTATGTATTTTTAAGATAATGTAATTTAAACATTATTATGAATGAGTGGGGTAATAATCTTGTGTGTCACAAGTGTATAAATAATAAAAAAAAGGCCAAACCTGTTATTGTTCATTGCAAATTCTATTTTTTATGAACACCAAATACAAGGCTAAAAACTACCAATTTATAACAGAGAAAGACAAGACAATCGCCATATATTAAAAAAAATATAAGGGTATTATATTACGTTTTTTATCCCTGGACAGGTACTCGTAAAATATCTGCCATAAGTAAAATTTCCGAAGGTATATTTTAAGGGTTTTACTACAAGGTCCATGCATATATATTGATTGCAAAATACTAAAGAAAGCTTGTGTTGCAATTTGTTTGATGTCAAGCTACATATGCTCATTACTTTAGTGGCCTATTACCCAATGAGCATATTACTGTTACCACGGCAACGGGGACGTCTCAAAATTGCGAAAAATCATTATTTTGCACTTTTTTCCCCATCAAAACTGATTCAAAAGTGCTGCTGCAACTTCTGAATGAATTGAGATAGAGTAAAAGGCTTTTCAGCATCGGTAACTAGTTACCCTGAGATCGACCTTAGGCCATTTTTAGCCTGTCACATGTCCAAAATTTTCTTGGCGATGAGGTGGGCTGCCGCCCCCTTCACCCCCCCCCCCCAACAGAAGAGGGCACATCCCCTTTCTGGCAACCCCCTGATGTACCATTTTGATGGAGTGGTCACTTTTCACTTTTACAACATTTCTCAAACAAAAAACAGTGTTTGGGACCTGAATAGGGCATTTTTTCACTGTTTGAGGCCTTAAAAGGAGGGGGGGGGGGGCAAAAAGCCGCAAAAAACACGTCTATATGAGGTAAAAGGTTAAGGAAATCACTGTAGCGTTTCAGATGCTTAAACCATAGGTCAAACATAGAATTAGGCATAACTACGGTATTCAGAAAACATATAAGAAATGTTGTCTTCACTGATTTGTTAATAGTGACCGTTTTCAATTAATAGTTATGTCTATTTATTAGCCCTAAATTTGATATGAAGTACATGTATAAGTACAGATAAGAACCAGTCAATTTCTCATATTTGATAAAAACCGAGCATAATCTTATAATAAAAGGTTAACCTTGTATGAAACCAAACTTGATTACTAGTAATAATGTTAAAAGTTTATAAAAGATTTTAGTTTCAGAAAAACAGCAATTATAAACTTAATTTTAATGCATTAATATTTTAGTTATAAAGTGTATCATTCTCTTAACACTACACACTGTGCTGTGCAAAATGAGCTTTTATGTACTATTTATTATTCTCTATCGTGTTGTACAATGTTCACTTATTTTGCTATAGCATTATATATTATTCTTTGTGACGCAACCAGTTGCGCATCTTTTTGATATTTTATTCTTTGAGACAATAGCTTAGAATAACGTTACAATAAACTCATAAACTTGTAAATACATATCTGGTTCATTACACTTGTCCTTCAAACCCATGTTTGTTACTCATACGAGTATTCATCAAGTTGTTTTTTGTTTATATATCTAATCAGTGGTTCGGAATGACGAAACTTGGTCGCAGTTCGAGTAGGTTTGTACACAATCTTAAACTATATATGCAACTATTTATTATTGCTAGCCCACCTCTCGTTCTTAAATGTATTCTTTCGAAACTAACTGATATGACTTATTTCCTAATTAATGTTATGACTAATATGTAATAAATTTAAACAGGATTTCAACTTAATTGAATTATTGCCGCTAGCAAAGCAAAATTATTTTATCCAACATATGTCATTGAACATTTTAAACGATCATCCAAGAGGTGACACATTCTGATAGTCCACAATCACGTGTTACGTTTACACAACGACAGTGTTATCTGTCTTATTTTTTACTTTCAATCTGTTATAGGAAAATGCTCCGCCGCCGACGATTGGCAGTAACAGTAATAGAAATAAGAGCCACAGTAAACATGATCCATCGCCTGAAAACATAAAACATGTTGGCAATAAGCAAACATACAAAACTATTGGACGTAATGATATAATTATTGTGCTGTGATCAATTCAACAAGAAATACAAACTGGCATACCTAATCAAAATTACTACATTATGTAATTTGTGGTAAGTGGATCAAAGCTAAGTAAGCGTTCTTGTTTACTTTAACAAAAATACTTGCCTATGCCAAATCAGTATGTTTCTGTAGAGTCAAATATCGTACAAGTACATGAAAGACGTATAATATAGTTTCGACATTTTTCTGATGTGATACATTGGTCTTGTGATGTTAAACAATGTAGATAAAAATAAATTCAACTGCAAATTAAGTGCCACTTTTGAGTGAAGAGTGGTGTAATCATGGTGAACCAATGGTCTTTAACAGGTACGTAATGCAGGATGGTTTTTTTCATCAGTAAGGTCCCCTTAGTGTCTTTTAGATATATAGGAGGAAATCAGTGTTAATGCTTAAAAATACGGGGGCGTTAGTGAAGCAAAATACTCATATAAATTAGGATGTATCTCAGAAGTGTTCAACAGTAAACTATGTCGATATTCAAAACCCATCTGTTTCCTATAATCAGTAATTGATTTGACTTTGTTTGAATCTAATATTGACAGAATCTGTAAATAATATATGCACCCATATGACTGACTTTGTCAAAGGGTATTTTTCAAACTAGATTATATGCAATACGTTTGCTTTTGCAGTCTTTTATTCATTTGATAAACTATTCATTTATTTATAAATATAAGCGTGAAATCACATACTTCGTATCAGGTACGTTCACTAATTTTTACTTTTACCCGACCATTATACTCGATCTGTGACATATATGACCCAGCAAATCGTACCTTCATCGACTAGCTTTGTAGTTGTTGTGCCATATATTCTCAATGACCAATTGTTAACTTCACCTAATATAAACAAATTTTATTAGTTATATGTTGCGTAAAGTATGATTCATTTAACCATTTTGCAGGAATGATTGAACGTTTAAAATTATGATTAAAGCAAACGAATGTTAAATCAAATAAATGTTTGTGGAAAAAGTGCTATATTTAATGGTATCAAAGTTTGTATAAACCAATAGCCATGCCTCACTTCAAAATAGGTTTAACGCACGTTTTTCCGTGTTATAACATCTGCAGAGTCCCGAGGAACGGTTGGTGCCCGAGTCTAGTAGGGCGAGGGCTCCAACTGTTCCGGGTACTCTGCAGACTTTATAACATGAAATAAGCGTGCGTTGACGCTATTATAGCATAAAACTTTAAAAACAGATTCATGATGTATATTTAAAACAAAACACATAGTTACATTAAATCCTTGTGCTTAGACGGTATTCATCCAATTCTACATGTTTTACGTAAGCGTTTTATTTTTCCGGGGCCAATAACTTGGGAAATACAAATGCAAACTTTCAATTACTCTACCAAATACAAAACATGACCCTCAGCAATTCCTAGAATGATTTCAGATTGACAGTAAAAAAAGACAAGTGGACATCAGAATCGTTCTTTTTTGCAAGCACACAATTTATAAACAAGAGGGCGATGATGGCCCTGAGTCCCTCACCAGAAACAACTGCTTTTCAGAGTTGGAAATTATCCATTGTCAATATTTACTAATATTTTATTTGAGCATAGAATATGTTTAAACAATAATTTGAAGAAATGCCATGACCTGGGGCATTTAAGCTTTAGCTTAAACGGCGCCAATCAAATTAATATGAGCAAACTTGATAAAAGACTACCTAATAATGCTACAAAGTTTGGTGATCATCAATCAATTATTTCAGTAGGAAATGTTCAAAGATTTTTCTATTTTTAGCCCTAGAGACCCCTAAAAGGGACCAATCAAATCAATATGACTATGAACTTGATAAAAGCGTACCTAAGAATGCTACAGACAAAGTTTGGTGATCATCCATCAATTAGTTCTGTAGAAATAGACGTTTAAAGGTATTTCTTTTTTTAGTTTAAGCGGCCCCTAAAAGGGGCAAATCAAATTAATATGATCAAAATTGATAGAAGACTACCCAAACATGCTACAAACAAAATTTGGTGATCATTCTTCAATTAGTTCTATAGAAGATGTTTAAAGGTTTTTTCTATTTTTAGCTCTAGAGACACTTTAAAAGAAGCCAATCAAATTAATATGATCAATCTTGATAACATACTACCCAAGATTGCTACAGACAAAGTTTGGTGATCATCCATCTATTAGTTCTGTAGAAATGAGCGTTTAAAGGTATTTCTATTTTTAGCTTTAGCTGCCCCAAAAAAGGCCAATCACATTAATATGAGCAAACATGATATCAGACTACCTACGAATGCTACAGACAAAGTTGGGTGATTATCCATAAATTAGTTCTGTTGAAGAAGACATTTAAAGGTTTTTCTTTTTTAGCCCTAGAGACCCCTAAAAGGGGCCAATGAAATTTATATGAGCCAATTTGATAAATGACTACCTAAGAATGCTACAGACAATGTTTGATGATCATCCATCAATTAGTGCTCTAGATATAGATGTTTAAAGGTATTTCTTTTCTTAGCTTTGGCGGCCCCTAAAAGGGACCAATCAAATTAATATGAGCAAACTTGATAAAAGACTACCCAAGAATGCTACAAAGTTTGGTGATCATCTATCAATTATTTCAGTAGGAAATGTTCAAAGGTTTTTCTATTTTTGGCTTAATTTGAGCATAGAATATGTTTAAACAATAATTTGAAGAAGTGCCTTTACCTGGGGCATTTAAGCTTTAGCTTAAACGGCGCATATCAAATTAATATGAGCAATTTTGATAAAAGACTACCTAATAATGCTACAATGTTTGGTGATCATCCATCCATTAGTTATGTAGAAGAAGATGTCTAAAGGTTTTTTTCTATTTTTAGCCCTAGAGACCCCTAAAAGGGACCAATCAAATTAATATGAGCAAATTTGATAAAAGACTACCCAAGAATGCTACAGACAAAGTTTGGTGATCATCCATCAATTAGTTCTGTAGAAGAAGGCATTTAAAGGTTTTTCTATTTTTAGCCCTAGAGACCCCTAAAAGGGGCCAATCAGATTAATATGAGTAAATTTGATAAAGACTACCCAAGAATGCTACAGACAAAGTTTGGTGATCATCCATCAATAAGTTCTCTAGATATAGATGTTTCAAGGTATTTCTATTTTTAGTTTTAGCAGCCGCTTAAAAGGGCCAATCAAATTAATATAAGCAAACTTGATAAAAGACTACCCAAGAATGCTACAGACAAAGTTTGGTGATTATCCATCAATTAGTTCTGTAGTAGAAGATGTTTAAAGGTTTTTTCTATTTTTAGCTATGTTGACCCCTTAAAGGGGCCAATTGTAATGACATGAGCTAATTCAAGTGTGACAGTCACAAGGATGCTACAGACCTAATTTGAAGTAAATCTGCCAAGCGGTTTCAGAGAAGAAGACGATTGTTGACGCATGACGACGGACGACGGACGCCGGAGTATCCCCCTTTGATACTAATAGCTCACCCTGAGCCTTTGGCTCTGGTGAGCTAAAATATCAGGAACTAAACGTTATTCTCTAAAATAAACATAAAGAGCATTTATCAATATAAACATCAATAAAACAACATTTCTCATATTTATTTTGTGTTATCTTGTTTTGTAAGTTAATCGGAGGGTTAAACTGAATGACAGATATTTGTTTACATTGACAACTGTCCGTTCCTTAGAAAGGACGACTACCAAGATCAGCGGTGATGTCTATACGCCGTACTTGCGGCATAGTAAGTTACTTGAATGCTGCTCACCGTTATGCGATTGACGCCCTCTAATCAAAAAATTCAATATAACAAGAGTGCATGACTCTTTGGCAAACGGACCAATCGTCAATTTTTGTTTGTTTGTTTACTGGGCCCTGTATGTACTAGTAGTATTGCGCATAGGTAAAACCCGGCTATAACAAGAGCGCGTGACTATGTAAACACATTATTTTGGTCCCGTTATAACATGGGCAAAAGAGGGGGAAATAACCGATTTTATGCTATACTATATATTGTCACGTTTATTGGTTCGTGCAACATTTGTTGAAAAAGTCATTAATTTCATAAAAAGTTGTGTTCTTAATGCAAAGAGATGCATGCATATAATTGCATTTTCAATAGGCTATTCCACTTGATATATGACGTCAGTATAAAAATGAACTGATAAATACGTTCGGTAAACTTAAAAATATATTGAGAAACACGAAGTATTGCACAAAAACATATGTGAAAACTGAAAACCTTTGTTGGAAATGAGTTGACAAATTGTACGTATAGTAATTGAAACTTAACAAAAAAAACACAGCTTTGGAAATTTATATGTTCCGGCTATGATTATGACTTCTCTGTACAGTTTCATTTCTGTGTTTACATTCGAACAAAAATGAGTTCCAAGCATGTATAGCCGTTGTATTAAGCTAGTGTTACAGTTAGGATAGTAATAATGCGATATTTTAATATTTCATTACATGACATTACTAATCAATACTCTTTATAACATATTTCAATTTAAACTAACTAGCGTTAGTGTGTGTGTGCTTTTTTTTATAAATATTGTTAATATATTTTGTGATACAGAATGTTTATTCGATAATATGAGACGTTTGTTACTTTTAAGAGTCAATACATTTTTTACCTAATTCTTTATAATCCATATCTAGAGACATCTGGAGAATCCAGTTACCATACGGTTTTTCATCCCAAAATTGTAATGTCATGAATGTCCATTGCTGTTAGAAAGTATTTTTAAATTATTATTTTTATCTATACAAATGACACTGACTTTTGTGCCTTCAAATAGAGATACTGTCTTAAATTTTATGAAAGAAAACATATATCTTTTGTTTTGTTCTACTCATTTGAAGTATTTATCCACACAAAAGGTATATATAAGTCAGTTTTTTGAGAATACAAATAATATATTTTTAAGGTTTTATTAATAGTGCGAACAAAATATTGGTAAAATCAGCACAACAATTTTCAAATATTGTCAAACAAACTTGTCTATACAAGATTCGAATCACTGTGAGCATAAAAATACGAGGGGAAGTCAGAAAATACCCGGACCTTTGACGTTCTCGAAAACCATTCAACATTTTAAAAAAAATCTTTCTACTCTTTTTCAAAATATTCTCCACCTACGTCTACGCACTTTTGCCATCTTCGTGGGAGCTTTTGTATTCCCGCTGTGAACCATGAAGTAGACCTATGTTTTAGGTACTGTGTAACAGCAGATATCAAAGCCGCCCTGGTCTTATATTTCTTTCCAGCAAGCAATTTTTTCAGTTCAGGAAACAAATAAAAGTCACAGGGGGCGAGGTCTGGGCTATTAGGAGGGTGAGACAACAATTGCCATTTGTAAGAGTTGATAACCTCCACTGTAGCTGCGGCGGTATGGGATGGGGCGTTATCGTGAAGAAGGAGGACATTTTTCTGTGCTAACCTGGGACGCATTTGCTTCAGCTTTTCTCTGAGGTTTTTCAGAATTACTTCAGAATAGTACTTGGCGGTGACAGTTTGACCTTTTGGAATGAAATGAGTAAGTATCATTCCTCGTGAATCCTAAAAGGCAACAAGCCGAAGGAGACAGCTTAAACTTTTGAGGAGGTGGGGAACCAGCTCGTTTCCACTGCTTTGTCTGAGCTTTTATCTCAGGTTCGGAATAATGAACCCACATCTCATCTCCAGTGATAATGCGGTTCAAAAACTTGTCTCCTTCACAATTAAAACGACTTTAATGTTCTTTTGTATTGGTTACTCTGGTTGCTTTTTGATCTGCGGACAGCTGTCTAGGCACCCACCTGGCACTTACCTTGCTCATGCCTAGGTGTTCGTGTAAAATCTTGTGTGCCGATGCCTTACTGATGCTAAACTTGTTGGCTACTTCCTCCAAAGATACTCGACGATTTTTGTTGACAAAAGCTTTAACATTTGCTACCATTGTTGGGGTCACCGACTCAGCTGGCCGCCTAGTCCTAGGCCTGTCACGAACACATGTTCTGCCTTCACGAAACTAAGAAACCCAGTTGTAGAAGGTTGAACGTGATACACATTTATCAGAAAATCTTTTTTCAAGCCTCTGAAAGATGTGGCAGGGCTTTTTACCTTCTGCAACCAGAAACTTTATTACAGAGCGTTGTTCCTCTAACAAAGAGTCCATGATAGACGAAACACCTATCATATATCAGAAGGCAAAATACTGTGTATACACAACTATCATTGAAAATAAACTGACCACGTTATTGGCGAATGAATGTAGTTTTCACCTATATATAATGTGCGTATATAACTGCACGTGGAAAGAGAGGAGCATGAAAAGTCCTGATATTTTCTGACCGGCCCTCGTAGTAATAATAAATTATATTTGATAACTAATTCTGTATTTATTTAAACACTGAAAAAAGCAAGAAACGTCTATAAATACAGGAACAAACCAGACTTGAGCTCTGCATATTATCATGATTTCGTCTTGTAAGTAGTTGGGACTTTGTACCAGATGGTGATATGAGAAAAAGCTGGATAGAACCTCTCAAGGAAAATGTAAATGTTACATCTACTTCAACGTGTTCAATTCTTTGTATTTCGTTTTCAGTACTGTTGCATCCGTTTGTAAATATGGTACTTTCAGCTTTTCTGTTGAGATCCTTTGGAAATATTTGTCTTCAAAAAGTATGTACATATTATCAAAATATAATTTTGATTTTTGAATATTAATGATTATATACCTCTTCAAAGTTACTTTTCACTTGCAGATTAATCAAATGTTTAAATACGTTCCAGCACAGTATAATTTTCCTAAATATACCGGATATCTAACTTTTATGAACATATTTCCACTTAAATTAAAATGAAATATTCCCTAGTGAAATTGACTCATGATTTTAAGATACAACACAATATGCAAATATAAAAAAGCATACATACGCCTTTGGAAATGGTATTTTGTTTGCTGTTAAACAAATATGCTGCTCTTTTACAGACTTCCAATGCTGGGCAGCCTCAACAAGCAATTCGGAATTCAACAATCCAAATCCAAAGTAATCGGACACTGTAAATACGGATAAGATCTTCACAATTCAATACCTACTGATACAAAACCTTTAGTACGATTGAATAATTTAACTGTAAGCTTTATCGGGTAAGTCATGTAGTTTTTCTTGTAAAATTCGTTTAAAGAATTCCACAAAAGGTCCAAAATTTTTTAAATATATAATTTTTTTACATGGATGAGATAGGGCACTGAAAACATGACAAGAGTCATGGCGTATTGGTATTGTGAAAATATATAAGTTGATAAGTCATTGCTATGGACCTATGACGAAGTTGAAAAATATTCAATTTTAACAAAACATTGTACTTTTACATGTCAATCCAAGACTTTGCCTTGAACCCAGCAACCCCAGACTCTATCCCAACTTAAAGGACCACCTTAGGTATGTTCCTTGTAAATATGAGACATTGATAAAAAATGCAAAAGCTGTATAAAAAAATATATTGTCATCACAAGTGACAATGACTTCGTGACTCCAAGCACTGGACTATCCAATGTATGTCCCTTTCAAAAGTTCAGGCTATAAATAAAGGCTGTGTAAGCCAATGCACAAAAAATCTATTTATAGCACCCCTGATTTTGACCCACTGACCCATCATTCAATCCAAAACTATGCAAGATATCTTACGACCCAATATGAAAGACATAAGGGAATTAATAAAGGCTATATGGGCAAAAATGTTAAAACCTATCTTTAGCGCTGGTGACCTTGACCCAACTGACCCCCTAACTCAATCCAAGGATAGAAGTTATCATCTTTACAAATATAAAAAAAAATAGCAGATGTATAGAGATCTCTTATTGGTGTTCTTGATCTTGACCCATTGACCTCTTACTCAATCAAAAGAAAGAATAACATGCAGGTTTTCTTCAAACCAAATATGAAAGACGTATGTCCATAAATAAAGGCTATATTGGCAAGAAACAAACAAAATATATTTTTAGCACTGATGATCTTGTCCTAACTGACCCTTAACTCAATTCAGTTGAAGAGGACCATGCAAAGTATCTTCCTACCAATTAAAAAAAACAGTCAAAAAGTAAACGTTGTATAAGGCAACAAGTATAAACCTATTTTTTTTTGGCAATCTTGACCTTCACACCCTGACCCCTACCTTAAACAATAGGAACAATATCATGTAAGTTATCTTCCTACCAAATATGAAATACCACTGTCAATAAATAAAGGCTGTATGGGCAAAAGCGTAAAAAAAGCTATTTTTATCACTGGTGACCTTAACCCAACTGACCCCTTACTCCACCCAAAGGAAGAATACCATGCAAATTATCTTCCTACCAAATATGAAATACATCTGTTAATAAATATAGTCTATAAGGCAAAATTGTAAAAAAATATATTTTAGCGTGGCTGACCTTGACCTATTGTCCCCTTGTTCGATCAGAAAGAAAAATATCATGCAAGTTATTTTCCTACCAAATATGAAACACATCTGATCATAAATAAAAGTCGTATAATCAAAAGTGTAAAAGTCTATTTAGCGCAAGTGACCGTGACCTAACTGACCCCTAACTCCTTCAAAAGAAAAGACCCCAATTTAATGTTCCTACCAAATATAAAAGATATCTGTCAATAGTATAAGATTAATACACCTGTAAAAAGCAAAACTCTATTTCTAACATTGGTGACCTTGACCTTGACCCAATTACCCTAAAAGGAAGTGGACCTCCCTTATAAGGTTGAATAAAACATGAATGATATCAACTAAAAATAAAGGTTGTGTGAGCAAAAATGTTTAAATTTGTATTTCACATCAGTGACCTAGACCCTAGAGACTCCTTACTCCATGAAAAATTAGAGGACCGTTAAAAGTATCCACCTACGAAATACAAAAGATATCATTTAATAAATTAAGTAATTAGGAGATACTTAAGGTAAATCGAACTTGCCGGGAAAGGTAAACCATACAAGGCCCTATTTTCAAAATGATAAAAAGAGAAAGAACTAGGAAAAATTGATGATACATTTATATAACTTGGCAATTATCATGTACTTTGTATCTATAAGTAAGTGTGATTATTATATTATAAAGTCATTAGTATAGATAGAACTTAAAATATATCCAACTTTGCGTTTAAGGTTAACCAATTATTCATTTTAAGTGCTTAAAAGGGCAATTACTTGGTAAAAATAAAAGCTATAGTTATGTTACTTGCCCAGATCACGTACTTGGTGTTGATCAGTAAGTGTGTCAAGTATGAAGCCATTGTTATAGGTAAAACTTGAGAAAAATCCAACTTGCCTCTTTAGGTTAACCTCGTACGGACGGACGATACAATAACTATATGCTCGGGCCATAAAGATAGTATTTTTGTGCAATTCGGGTTACAAGCTTGTAACACTTTTCAAGTTTGGGTCAATTTTTAAGATAAAAATAATTGTTCTTGATTTACGTAAATGGCAAATAATCTTACAATTTACAGACAAATGTTGGTTTTTACCCTTTATCAAATGGACATTTATGAACCATTTATCTTGAAAATTTATTTCCAATCACGTCATATAAAACTAGAACTATTTCTAAATGTGATTAATACCCCTGCAAGACTGCTTCGGAAATGAGGAAGTTACAAGAAACAGAATACCTTGTTAAAGTATTGCAATAAGAGTTATGGTTGTGTGCAATTAAAGATAGTTGTGGTTCTTGTATGTTGCTTTTCCTTTCAATGTTGTTGACCATTATTGAAGTTTTATTGAATTACTTTGTAATAAGTCCAGAAAAAGTTACGCTTTCTAAGCACTGCACTTCCTCTCATTGCGCTTGACCATTGTATGAAGTTGCATTGAATTCTAAACATTACTTTTTAAGTTATGCACCAGGCAAGAGAAAAGGAAAAACGGGCAATAACTTTACAAATACTGAAGACGGCGTTATGGCTATTGTACACTGCACCTCCTCTCATTGCCCTCGACCATTGTATGAAGTTGTATTGAATTCCAACTACTTGTTTTCAAGTTACGCACTGGACAAAAAAGTAACAAAGGGCAATAACTGTAATTAGTCCAAATAAAGTTATGGTTCTTGTGCACTGCATTTCATCTCACTGCCCTCGACCACTGGGCAAAAACTCTTAAAAGAACCAAGAAAGAGTTATGGTTTCTGTGCACTGCGTTTCCTCACAATATACTTGACCATTGTATGAAATTGTATTGAATTCAAACCAGTAGTTTTCAAGTTATGCTCTGGACAAGCAAAAAGCAATTGAAAAATAACAAAGGGAAATAGCTCTTTAATTCCTCTGGACAGGGTAATGGTTCTTGTGCACTGCACTTCCCCTTATTGTGCTTGACCGTTGTATGAAGTTGTTTTGAATTTAAAAAAATAGTTTTAAGTTATGCTCCGGACAAGGAAAAGTAACAAAGGGCAATAACTCTGCAATTAGTCAAGTTGGAGTTATAGTTCTTGTGCACTGCACTTTTTCTCAATGTCCTTGACCATTGTATGAAGTTATATTGAATTCCAACCATAATTATGTCTTCAGGTTATAGTCCGGATAAAATAAAGCAATGGAAAAGTATCAAAGGGCAATAAATCTGTAATTACTTAAAATATAGTTAGGTTTCTTGTGCACTGCACTTTCCCTTATTGTGCTTGACCATTGTATGAAGTTATTTTGAATTCCAACAAGTAGTTTTCAAGTTATGCTACGGACAAGGAAAAGTAAGGACAAGGAAAATGCAATGGACCGCTGGACAGTCCGACCCCCGGCTGACTCCTATATAACCCCCTCCCCCCAAACTTCGTTTCGGGATTATAAAAACCTCTGTGGCGAGCCTTAAAATTGTGTGTATTTAACATATCCAGTGTTTAAGCAAATGTAGAACACAAAGTTTTAATCTTAATGTTAATTTGTTCTGCGGAAAACTCTGTTTTTACTTTGCAACGAAGTTAACATAATGCGATTTGCCATTAAGTCTATACAAACTAAGTGACAGCACAGGCGGTGCAAATTTTCTTTTGTATAACTTTTGTATTAGATAACAATATAATGTTGTATGCCAAATATCTAATACCTCAATCTCTTAGCATTGTGAATTCTGAAATAAAGTTCTTTAAGACAACTTTAGAAAATATTTTGAAACAAAATAATTGTAAAATGGCAAAAAGGTAACCGTATGGCGCAAAGCATAAATTGCTTTCATCCATTTACGATATTTCTAATGAGAAGAAAGTTGTGCTGATGTTATGGCGTTCCATACTTAACCAGGCAAAAGTATGTAAGTTTATATGGGTAACCTGTATGTCCAGCTCCGTTTATTTGTTCTCTACCATACTTCAGATTGGATAAACTGGATGTATTTACTATCAAATGTTGAAGGTCTCGCCATGTAAGACTTGGGCTGAAATATTCAAGAAAACGTTTATATGATCTCTGTTCGTTCCCTTTCGGAAATATTTGTAATAAATGTCTAGGTATTAATGAATGCCGGTTAGGTGGACTCGAAGGCGATATATTACAAAAAATGTATTAACATCGGTGTGAAAAACAGATAAAGAACTTCTAAACGTTAACTTTGAAAATCCGTTGCAAATAACTTTGATAAGTCTTCATTATTATTTCCAAGTCTTACAATATTGTTTTCTTTTTCAAAATGGTCCATGGCCTATTTTTATTTTTATTTGAGTTAAACGCATAATAACAGTAATAGTGTTCAAATAAATTTTGTCATGAAAGAAATGGCATATATTTTATCAGTATTGTATGAAGTTATTATACATACTTTGCTTGCAAAACGAGTGCAAAAATTCCTGCAGCCATTGGTGCTGCAGCTGATGTTCCAGAAAATGACGTGACACATGTGCTGTTTAGAGAAGTTGTACACTGAAATATATTGAACACAAGTGTAACCATAAAGAGAAGTGATGCTTGTAAATGTTCAATAAAGAGAAAATATTACTTTGATTCTGTTCAGTTAAATATGTTTAAAAAAACAAGAATAGCATGCTGATGCATGCTAATATTTTCACCGATCGATATCACCAGAAAATTTTTCTAGGAAGTTAAAATAGGATTTTTTTCTCAGAGACTCGGATAGGAGTATATATTAATAAAACCACACTTATGTGTTTATAATAACTACAAGTCAATAAATACTGTATTCATAGAAATAACATGTATGACAGATTCCGTGGGAAGGTTGACAAATGGAATTCACAAAGCAAGCACCTACCCACGCTCATACCATTTGTAATAGATGTATCAGTAATTCTCTGTTACCTTAAAGTCTATAAACAGATTAACAATATCGCTAAAGTGAAAATCCCGTTTAAAGCGACCAAACTCTGGGACACAAAACAACATATCGTTCGTTATTTTAACAAAGTAATAATGAAGGTAATGGTGATTTGAGTTTGTATACAAATATCATGCAATGTTTAGTTTTTGGTTCAGGTGATATATTCATTCGATTGCAGAGTATATTAACATTCGATGAATGTATCTTATTCAATCGTAGCACAATGTGTCCCGCCATTGTGAAGATTTCCATTTCCAAAATAGAATAATTAAATATCTTAAATTGCAAAACAGAATAAGCTATGTTGCCAAGCATAATGCGCCTCAACTATATGTTCAATAAAATGAAAAGTGAATCTTAAATCGTTTTTTGTGGGACCATAGCAAGCGATGAAGACCGATTTGGGCTTCTTTTGTCATGCATAGTGTTATATTCAAACTGTAGTGTTTTTAGAATAATAGAAAATATAAATAAGTCTCACAATGTTATTTGTTGATCCTCCTCCACCACTGAATGTACTGGCCATGATAGCAGCGCATGGTTCGGCATACCCAGGCGGTTGAAATTTATAAGAAACGCTACTGATTGCTATTGTATGAATACTATTGACAAATCCATCACAGTTACAGTTGTCGTCCGTGCCACCATTGCCAGCTGCCCATACATATATTGCGCCTAATCCGTTACGCCCCTACTCATAGAAAATTAACAGTATTTAGTAAATTAACTTATATTCAGATGAAATCACAAATGAACAGTTTTGAATTAAACAACACATTTGTAAAGAAAATATTATATTGTTACAGTAAATGTGACATTTCGAACAATTTACAATTATTGCAGATAATTTGATTTGTGTACCACGTATTAACTGTATGTTAACAATACATCTATTTGCATGAAAAACCTTAGTGGACGACATATGTATTGTAAATATCGAATCGTTGGCTTAAGGTACTCACAGGGATATCAATTATAAATGAAGTAAACAGTCTTGCTAATGTGGTAAGGTGAATTGTAAATTGCAATAAATTACATGTTTTATGTAATCATTATTTTTAATAGATAAATAATTGAACTAGAATGTGTCCATGGGACACGGTTGCCCCAACACGCCACATGTGGCACAAGTTGAAAACTAAAAATCTTTTTACTAAGTAAGAGCAAGAACTTTCCAGATGCTGAAAAAAAAACCCACAAGCGAACCCCAAGGGGCATAAGTACACATACTGACCAACATTCTTGTACACTTTCAGGCCTACAGGTCAAATACTTTTTGAGCTATGCATGAACAAGTAGAAAATTGCAAATTTATACTGAGTCAAGGGCAATAACTCTAACAAAGCTGAAAAAACACGTGCAAAATCCCAGGTACACAGTGATGTTGATCATTATTCCTGCAAAGTTGATTGATTCTAACTCAAGCACTCAAGGAACAAATAACACAACATAATGAAACGGTTTTTACTAAGTCAAGGGCAATAACTCTACAAATACAGGATACATCCACAAGCAAAATCCAAGGTGCAGAACTACATATGCTGACCAAGAATCCTGTTAAGTTTCATGACTCTAGGTTAAATACATTTTGAGCTAAGCACGACACAAATTGAAAATTGGAAATCTTCACTAAGTCAAGGAAAATAACCCTGACAAAACATATAAATTCACAAGCGAAACCCAAGATGCAAAACTTCACATGCAGATCCTGTAAAGTTTCATGACCCTATGTCGAATACTTTTAGAGCTACATGCGACACAAGTTGAAAATTGCAAATTTTTACTAAGTCAAGGACAATAACACTACTAATACTTGATAAATCTAAACATAGATACTTTGATGAATAGCTTCACATGCTGATCAACGCACTGACGGATGGACGGACAATAGTAAATCTAAATGCCCCCCCCCCCTAAAGTTGGGACACAATACATCGGGCGTGCTGTTTTTACTCATTTTAATACTCTCAAAAATTACAATCTCTAAAACAATCCAAACCTTACCCGAAACCTATACAGGTGCCAGATTATCCTTCCCTATCTATACTTATTCAATCTTCATAACCTACTAGTACATGTATTATATTACATTCATTGTTCTACAAAATGTATCTCTGTACTATGATATTAAAATATAAACAAGATATAACATGTATACAAAATATGAAGTGATAACATGAATGGGTCCTTTTATAAAGTTGAGCTTTACAAATACTTATTTTGAATTCATTTATGTACAAATTATTTATCATTATTTTTAGAGTAAAATGCATAATATATATATATATATATATATATATATATATATATATATATATATATATATATATATATATATATATATATATACATAGATATCATTTACCTGTGATATCAAAGTAATGTGAAAGATATATAAACATATTTATACATTGTTTCTAAGCTATACACAGCTAACGAAAAAGACTAATGCAATGAAGCATTGCAGAAGTATTGCATTCGTTTTCAAATGAACGGGTCAAAGGTTAGAAAGAAAGCGATTTATTAAATAATTATGTGCATAGATATATCTTTGATATATTTGTTTTACAGTTTTTCGATCCCTTCTAAAGCACCAATGTTCATCAAATATCAATATTTTTTACGGGACCAGCCTTTAAGCCTCGGCATGCAAAATCTCTAGCGACCGGTGAATCCATGACACCAAGTATTTGCCGAGTTTATTTAATGATGTATATACTTTTTGAGTTCCTTGGAGAAGTGCTGATTTTACAATTGAGCTTGGACCTTCGAAGGTTACTTTATCCAAAACTCCCCAACTATTAGAATAAATGTCAATGCCTGGAGCTAGCAATGCATCTCGTTCACCTGTGCTGGTAGTTCCAGAGGATCCTTCTATTCGGAGGCCTGAAAGTGAAAAATCTAATATTATAACAATCCAACTTACATAATACATAATATTATAGTTGACAAAAAGTCACACCTCGTTTAGTTGATGAGCATCAGCGCGTTTAAAGAAAGCGTTCGAAATATTGTACACTTTTTACAATTAATTGCTGATGGTCAAATGAATTATATATTGCACAATTAAACAAGTTTTAATCTCTCATTTACATTGAATCATTTGAAAAAAAAAATGACAAGGAAAAAAACGTACCTGCAATGCGTGCATTAAAGGCAACTCCAACGATACAATTTGTATTGTTTGCAGCAGCAACAGTTATACCCGCACATTCGGTCCCGTGCCTATGTTTAACAAGTAAAAGCTTTGTTAATAAAATATTATGCATAACTATAAATATAAGATATTGGTATGTTATGGACAAACCTTTTAGTTACATGCCAATCGACTCATTGGCTGTCCATTTACAACTTGTCAATAGCTAGGTTGGTTTACGAAACAAAATGAGGACATGTTTATTTGAGGGCTTTAATTGTGTAATACTGTTTGAGAACAGTTAACAATCAACAGAAAAGAAACCCAGAAAAAAGCAGTATTTCAATAAATATAAATCATTCTGAAAGAAATAGCAGTGTAAGATTTATTTAATTATATAACAAATATAACAGCTTTCTAATGCTTTTAAACACATTCATTAAATTGAAACAAAAAAAAATCATTTTTCATACTTACAAATCACCGGGATTCGGAGATGGGTCATTGTCTCGCTCGTATAAATCAATGCTCAACTTTGCATTCTAGAGAAAAATAGCATATTTATTATCAGCATATATAATATAACATACAATGAGTTAACATATGATTAGTTTTGGAAAATAAAGATGACAAGACAAACTAAATATATATCACAATACAAACATAATCAATTAATTGTCACATATAACGAGAATGAAGTTTAATCTTCTCTTATAATCTACAGCTTGACAAAAAAAATAAAATATGTATAGGTGGTAAAACACTAGCTGACACTTTGAAATAAGACTGTCTTAGTGACCCCCTGTATATAGCGACGTTCTGTCTCTGTGACCAAAGTTAGATGCACCGAACAGTATTTACTATATAAATGGTCTGTATGTAGCGACTCCTTGTCTAGTCCGTACAGCGACCATGATTTAGCGTTTTCTGTAACGTTATATAAGCCGTGCAAAGCGACTTTTGCAAGGGGAGTAACTCGAATGGGGTTACCAAAAATTAAAAGAAATTGAAATCAAAAGATTAGGGAAGCAATGCAAAAATAAAAGTTGAAGACATAAGAAGGTGAATATTACGATTTAGGAAACCAGAATGTGTACATAAAAAGTTTAACAAAAGGTTTCAAACAAATTAATCACCATTTTCTCCCAACAATTTTAATAAATACACATCAATACAGAATCCTAAACCTTTATTCATTTTTATTCTTCTGTAAGTGTTTTATTGTAGATAGTGAATCTTCGTAAAATTGAATTCAAGCAAAGTTTATTTTACAAACAGATTTATCAATATAAATTTCATTTTAAGCAATATGTAACATTTAAATACTAAATGTAATGGTGTAGTTTATAATCTTAACCAATTATACATGCAATTTTAATACTATCTTGTTTATAAATGAAATGTGGTATGTTCAATATGAATAAAATATAATTAAACCCTAAGTATGGTACTATCCTGCCAAAATATTGGCAAAATGTGTTCATATATCCAAATTCTGTAGTGACACCCTATCTATAATGACAAACATCGAAAGTCACTGTAAACAGTTTTTACTGTATGTGCTTTGGCTTATTTTAGGAAAATTTATTTTCTATAACATTTCAGGTATGTTTTATTTCTTCGTGGTATAATAACTTTTTGATATCATATACGGCTCGTATAAAATAGATCTAATCATCAGTATTGTAGCAAGTTTGTTTTAAATGATGAATTATAAAGTGCCTTTTTTACTGTTTGTTCTAAAAGAGATGTTAATTTTTTAACATTATATAATACATACAAAGTTAGGCTTTAAATCCGGATGGTTAAAATCCACGCCGTCGTCAACTATACCAATTGTGACACCCTTGCCTGTGTATCCCTTTGACCATGCTGACATCACGCCCATGTCTGTAGATTGTCTTCCATTCTGGATATCACGGTGAAAATACCATTTAAATAAATAAAACTATTCTTAACGTTTTGGAGTTTATGAATAGAATAATTTGTGATAATAAAATCCTCGATTGAAGCTATTGATATAAGAAAGTAATTCATTAAAATAAATACATTCATATTCGTATTTTATATATGTGTGTCTCTCTTTTCTTTTTGTTTCAAATATGAAATTTATGCGACTTACATACACAAGTAGTACACAGGTAAAATTAAATAAATGTCGTTAATTATGTTAATATTTGTTTTTCGTTAGCACTGTAATGGTCACATTGCAACTGTCCAGCTTAACTTGTAAAATAGGACCTCTGCTTCCGCTCTTTGTATATTTCAGACACGAACGGATACTTAAGTCGATCAGCTTACTCGATAGCCTCTTCACATTTAAGAATCTAACATATCTGGAGTGGGACAAGGTGTTGAAGTCAACGACCTTAACGACTCTGCCACATACTATTTTAACATATATTTTCTTAAATATCAATTGTACATGTTCATGATTAGTATAGAAAATGAAAACACCAAAAATCTACAATGATTATTTGGGATAGATTAATAACCATAATAATCTATATAAAATATTTATAACATGCGATATCTACCAAGTACCACATATTGCGCCAGTACGGGTCATTGACCAGATACGACCTCTTAACACGTTTGTTCCACTTCTGTTGTTCGGCGTATACAACCTACAATCACAAAGATTTCTACCAGAATACACAGACAACTTAAAACATTTATCACTTAAGTATGTCACCAGATAACCGTAAAATATTCTTGGCAATTAAGTGATTATCGCCTTAATTAATTCATTGCTTATTTAATCTGCGCATGTATTATGTAGTTTATGCCTTTGTAACCCTTAAGTATTTAGATAAAACAAATCTTGACTGAAAAAGAGACATGATAGAGACAACATCTGACATTATGTGCTACTTTTGTCTGCTTTAAGATAAGTGTTGGTAATTGATAAACTTTTTCTTTACACGTTAACATGATATTTTATTGACGTAATAATGGAATGTCAAAATCACGGTGGGAAAACACGTGACTTTTACGGTAACGCGTACAGACAATATGGCGGCCTAATTACCTCGCTTCACATGTGTTTTTAAGGTAAAACTTCTTCATAATAGCCCTTATACTTACATTCGAGACCTGTTGCAGCCTACGCGGAATAAAGAATTGTTGGCGTCTATACCTTATTTACCAACCCTGTGCTTATAGGTTTTACAAACACTCAAACATTCAACCGGAATTTTCAATGTCGACAATTATTTTGCGGGTAACATTCACGCAAAATTTGTATTTTTTTAAAACATTGATAAAACCACATTGAGTAAGCAAAGAGAAGAAAATCATATAATTTCTTTATTTAAAGATGTGTTTATTAGGCATGTTGTATGTTGACTGGTCATTTTCTTTTCCAGTACATAAGAGAAAAACGATTTGGGTAACAGACACGGGTTATTCTTTTGTTGATAACTCCAACGCAATATTTTTTATGCAGGCAATATCTTTACAAGTTATAGCCTAGATATTGATTAAACAAATTCATGATTGATGCATTCAGTTTTAAACGTTCATAGAATTTCGAGTAATTTTATAAATACCCCTTAAGAGTCTCGGATAGAATTAAACCCCTATAGGTAGCTGAATATTTTAACTCACGTGAATATATTAAACGACGTATCGATATAGATGAATGAATCGCAGAAATTAAAACAAAAGTGTAACATATTAATAGGAAGTCTTGTATTTCATTTTAAGCACAATTTAGTAGTCATTTTTCATGTTTTTCCAGATATGGAAGATTCCAGCTCGTAAATTAATTGTGACAAATGTGGAAAAACATTTCGTTCACGGACAGGTCTTAATGACCACATAAAAGGCACCTCGGCACAGGACGTTATAAACCTTGTTGTAAAACATTTTACAGCCAACGTCATAGGTATGGCGTTTTACAATTCAGGGTTTAATGACATTCAAATATATATTCTCTAGATTAAATCACTTAGCTTTTAAGTAAATGACCGATTCTGATATTCTGTAGGTTGTTTGTATACCCTCGCCGTAAAATGGACATGGCATATAGTGTTGCCTTATTCAGTCATCATCAGTTTCCGTTCATTATCTTGGCAACGGTTGCTCACATTCAACTAAGAGTTGACATATGGATAAAATAAAATATGCAGGTCAAAGTCGAATTTGGTCATGGACAATGTGTTTAGAGAGACAATGCCTCTTGAAAAAATGTTCAGTTTCCGTTCATTATCTCAAAGAAACAAAGATGTTTAACTTATTTATGTTTAATGATATTTTGGCAAGATATTGCCATGGCTGACATTAATTCTAAAACATTATGAAACTAAAAATACAATGGCAGTGTATGTAAGATTCACGTAAATAAAAATATTCAGCTACCTAAAGGGGTTTAATTCTATCCGAGACTCTTAAGGGGTATTTATAAAATTACTCGAAATTCTATAAAGTCAACGTTTAAAACTAAATGCATCAATCATGACTTTGTTTAAGCAATATCTAGGCTATAACTTGTAAAGATATTGCCTGCACATAAAATATTGCGTGAGAGTTATCAACAAAACAAGAACACATGTCCGTTACCCAAATCGTTTTTCTCTCATGTACTGGAAAGAAAATGACCAGTCAAAATTCAACATGCCTAATATTCACATCTTTAAATAAAGAAATTCTATGACCTTTTTTCTCTTTGCTTCCTCGACATGGTTTCATCAATTTCTTTTAAAATACAAAATTTGCGTGAATGTTACCCGCAAAATAATTGTCGACATTGAAAATTCCGGTTGAATTTTTTGAGTGTTTGTAAAACCTATAAGCACAGGGTTGGAAAATAAAGTATAGGCGCCAACAATTCTTTATTCCGCGTAGGCTGCAACAGGTCTCGTATGTAAGTATAAGGGATAATATAAAGAATTACCTGAAAAGCACATGTGAAGCGAGATATTTAGGCCGCCGTATTGTTTGTACGCGCTACCGTAAAAGTCAAGTGATTCCCTGCCGTGAAAATATTTATTTACGTGCAATATATATTAAAGACCGAATGGCTAAAATTTAAATTTAAAGGCGATCATGAGGTGTAAAACGACTGATATTTGTTTGATTTGATTAGATATTTTAACACTAATCAATTCATTTTATTCAGAAAGACAATTTATAGTCACTTTTCTCAAAGTGTTTTTGTCCAGACGATTTTTTTTTCAAAAGGACAAATGTTTTACAAAAGACGAAAAGAGACATTTTCGCCTAGACAAAAACACTAAGCATATCGAGAAAAACTTCGGCTAGATAATCGTTTTGTCTAAATAAATCAAATGGATGATTTAGATCGAATTAAAATCCGTCGACTTACACATTATCGTCTCATTATTTAAGGCCATTTAACGTTTCCATACTTAAACCTTATTAAACTCACTTTGTAGATAACATGAAAAATGATTTTAAATAAGAATATTTGCAGGCTTTAAAATGTGCAGTGTATTGTCTTTTAGAAGTACAGGTTACAATATGATCATTAATGTTGCATGTGAGTACCAATTTATTTTTAGACACGTGTGGATCTAACAAACAAGTAGCTTTAGAAAATTATAAGTAACCTTTTCCTCTTTCAGAATTGTTTTGCTTATGTCATGAGCTCGTACTTTGGAACTAGTTGGCGAGTATTCATGTCTGAGTACAAACATATTGTCACCAATCTAAAATAGATAATATATGCTTACAGTTAATTAGGTATTTGGCCATAATGATTGTGCTTAATTTCTGATTTTGTTTAGGAAATAGATAAATTCTGAGCGCATTGTTGTAGAATAATGCACGTTTAGAGTTCAAATGCGTAGTAACCTTATCACGAAGGCCGATAGGCCTGAATGATTAATTACAAAGCTTTTGAACGGACAAAAACGTGCATAATTATACTATAATGCACGAAGAATAAGTATCTATTTCCATTCTAACACGTCAAGAAAAAATATAATAATTATCATTTAGGCAGTTCCGGTGGGATTAACAAAAACTGTCGTTAAATCTCTACCATGTGTAGAAACATTTTGAGAAAAACGAATTTTGAAAACGTTGATAAACTTTTTTATAACACTCAATAATTTTTCAAGCGTAATTTAAAGTATTTATAGTCAAATAAATGTAAAATTTAACTACCTTGCGACATTAAAAGAGCGTTCTTGATTTGATTGTTTTGTACACGCTGTCATTGTACATTGTGACGTCACGTAAACAACACTTTAAACGTCTGTACAGCGTTAACCGCTGAATTAAAGATGTTGGTGCTCGATTTATTTTCTTAGTTAGACCATTTTCTTTCATTTTGGATAATTTTCACAACAAAATTCGACGAAAAATGTTTTTTTATTTATCAGATTTTTCAAACAAAATGGCGCCGTCAATGTGTCGGTTTAAAAATACACAGTGAGGTAATAAGAACGGCGAGTGCATTGTTGTAGAATAATGCATGCTTCCGGCCTTCTTTAATTATGTAGAAAAATTCCCGAAAGTGTTAGAATAAGTAACAATAAATGTTTTACTTGAATATCACATTGCGCTTATTAATAAATAATACTGCACAGAACAAAATAAAACAGAATTTATATACATGTACAGACTTATACATAATGTATGTACATCGTCTTGTTAACAAAGCTTTCATTAAACAGAGTCATACAGCAGGTGAAATCACACAAAATATAAACAACATTTTTAAATAAATAAACAAAGATTTAAGACGAAGACTTTTATGTAAGAAGATAATTATGTTATGTTAATTATGTTAAGAGTTAATAACTTTGTTTCTCAACGATAAAGATTCTTGGATATATTTTGATAACTTATTTAAAACAGTATTATTTTGTGTTGAAAGTAGATCTATTATGTGAACAAAGATGGTCTAACATAACAACATTTTAAAGGCATTGCATTCGTAGACTATGAAGACAAGGGCATACACATATAAAGTGATATTCATCTTCTATGTCAAATGTATTGTAATACGAGTATAAACAATATTGCTGATCACGAGGTGTATAATTTCTATTATATCTGCCAGTGTGTATTCTTAGTGGATGTACAGATAATTTTAATCTACAGAAACAATTTCTATGTTTACGAAGCAGAATCAAGTTAGCTTTCATAACCAAAATAAAGCTTAAATTTCCTACAGTATACTAGATATACTTGTATATTAAATTGTGCAACTTTCAAATATCGTTATAAAAGTACTAAGATTTATTTTTCTTTTTAATAAAATATACTGATATTCATGATGAACTGGAAAAAATCAAAAAGGATGAAAAACCCATACAAACAAGACTACAAATAAGGAAAACGATTACAGAACATCTTAAACTAGATCTACCATTTTTTTCCTTTTTACTTGAACTTAGCTCGATAGAAAGTAATTCATGCCATTACAATAATCTTCACGTCCATCAACAACATAATTTATATCATCATAACGTTCATAATCATCATCATCATAATTATCATCATCATAATTATCGTCAAAATCATCACTTTCTCTAGCGTCATCATTATTAATATCATGATAACCACCATCACCAGAACCCTGGTCCTCATCATAAAAACTATTTAAATCAATTATCATAAACATCATCACTATCTCCAGTGTAAGCATTTATTACACACAGATCATCCCTCATCATCATCAAAGAAATAATTCCCATCATCATCATCATCACCACCACCATCATCATCATTATCTTTACCATCATAATCATCATAATAATCACTATCATCAGTAGCAGCAGCAGCAGAAGCACCATCAGTAACAAAAGCAGCAGTAGATCATCATTACCTAAGTTTAATGGTTTTGTACTACAACTTCTTATATGTTTATAATTTCAGTATGACATTAGAAACATCAGATAAGAAACAATTTTCAAAGTATTGCAACCAATATAAAAGTATCTTACACCCCCCTCCCCTTCACCCCCCACCCCACCCCGCCCGCAACATTCTAAAGGAGCATGACCATTCAATTATGCCATTGAGGAGGACATGAATAAACTTAAATTTATTTTGAGCTCTTAATTTATCTGTATCACAGTACTTAATGTGTTAAATTGCAATGCCTAATAAGGAAATATGTTTATGCAACAGATTATCAACATATCCAAATTTCTCAGGATGAATATGTATCAATAATATTTCAGCATTTTACTCTTTTAAATAAATGTGTGTTTTTTTGTTTTTGTTTTTTTAATGTTATCACAGGAAAAAATAGGGACGGCCAGACAGACGGACCGACATACAGTGGGCAAATCTTTAAACATCCCTGATTATGACCAGAAATTAACATTTTTAGCAGCTAAATTTTCGAACTAAAGAGGAGATAGCTCTTGAAATAAAGGCATCGTTATGAATCATGTGAGTCGTGATAGGATACCATTCATGGTAGCAAAGAAGAAAAGTGAGAAAAAAACATGTTGAAATATATACCAATTACAAAATAAAAACAAGAGGCCCTGCTTCCCTGACCCATCAACCATATCCGAGAAATGTCTTAGACAAGCATCCTGACCAAGTTTGATGACAATTGAGTCAAAAATTTGACCTCTAATGTGTTAACAAGGTTTTTCCATATTTGAGCAGTGTGATCTAGCTTTTTACCCAAGGAGATCCATATTCAAGCTTGACCAAGAAATCATCAAATCAAACTTGCAGACCAATTTCAAGGATATTTGGTTAATATCAGTAGCCACAAGAGAGTTCACAAGAATTTCTATTTTTAGCTCCTATGACCTAGGTTTTCATCAGAGATACCCATATTCAAACTCCTCCAATCAATTACCAGGCAAGCAACCTGACCAAGTTTAATTAGAATCGAGTCGAACTGTTACCATTAGAGTTTTAACAAGGTTTTTCAATATTTTGGCAGTGTGACCTTATTTTTGACCTCAGGTGATCTATAATCAAACTTGACATAGAAAACAGCAAAAGAGTCTTCCTGATCACTTCCCAGGATATTTGGATCAAAACTGCATCCACCAGAGTGTTAACAAGATTTTTCTATTTTTAGCCCCTGCGACCTAGTTTTTGACCAAAGAAAACCCATCTTCCAACTTGACGTAAATATCATCCAAAGAACCTTCGTGACAAATTTACAAAATATTTGTATCAAAACTGCAGCCACAAGAGTGTTAACAAGATTTATCTATTTTTAGCTCATGTGACCTTGTTTTTGACTAGACATGACCCATATTAAAACCTGACCTAGAAATCATCAAAACAACTTGCAATTGTCTGACCAATTTCCAGGATACTTGGATCAAAACTGCACCCACTAGAATGTTAACAAGATTTTTCTATTTTTAGTCCCTGTGACCTACTTTTTAACCGGAGACAACGTATACAAGTTACTTTTATGTAAATATTACATACTTAACGATTAATGCAAATAAAAGCATATATCGTGCCTTGAGGGTACGTGTGTGCTAAAAAATGAGAGGGTACCTGTGATATAAAAATTCAAATGAAGAGAGGTAGCCCGTGCCGCTGCAAAACCGAAAGTAGGGTGTTTTTATGAATTTTACATTTATTTTTGACAATATACTGCCATTTGTCCTAAGATGATATGTAAATGAACATATTAAATATGTTTGATGTATGTATAATCAAGCCACGGGTTCATTGCAGCCCGAAAAGTATGTCGTGGTGATGGGCGAGGCAAGACATGTCGATTTTTTGTAGCTTATTGTGAAGTTGCAGTACATGAAAAACGGGCACATGAAAAATCAGCACATAAATAAAATATTCTAGTGTTCCGTGGTATACATCTTTTCTACGTGTCATACCTCCTTTCCTTATTTAAATGAAATTTACTGGATTGTTATCCATGAGCAGAGAATGACCTGTGCATGTGCGTTTGAGCAGATTTCGCAAAGAGGGTACCGATATGGATATGCACCGTGCAATTGTTGACGACGCACGACGCCGGACGCCGGACATAGCCCCATTACTATACCTCACCTTGACCACTTTGTGGTCAGGTGAGCTTAAATATATATATAACAATTTGCATATAAACTCAGTTCAAAATGAAAATAATCATTTAAACCCAGATGTTAGACTTATAAATAAAATCAAATATGATGTAGGTGTAAATAATAAACATGTATTTAATATTTAAAGTGATTCCATGAAGATAATAGAATAAAAAGGGAAATTCAAAGTTTACGGGGGAGATAATTATGAAGATATGGATGATGAATTCAAATACTTTGACATATATTTATGATGTGGGGGTTTGCAATTTGTAGTAAATCCTGTAAGAAATGAGGAAACAATAAAACAAATCTAGAAAAAATCTATGAACGTAATCCTTGAAATAGCCAGGCTAGAGTATTGAATTCTCAAACATAATTTAAGAATAAGTTCAAGGATAATTATTCTGATAATATAGATGAAAAAATTATAAACATTGTCACATAGGATGTGGGTGATGATAAGTAACATTTATTTAAAGTTTGAAATTGATACTTAACTACAATTGTGAACCTTAACGTGCATAATCTCCATACCATACTGTCATCTATCTAGCTTCAAGGTTTATAAAAATATTTTAGTACGTTTTGAGTTATCACAGATATTGTTATATTCTCCATATTATTTTTTATCTATTGCCACAGCAACCGAATTTATCAACGTAGGTAAATAAAGAGATGTACATAATCTCCAGAATGCCATCTACCAATATTTCAAAATTTATAAATAGAGTTTTAGTACGTTAACGTTATCAGGGATCAAGTTTTGTAAACGGAAGGACGGACGTTCTCACAGGACAGTAATTATGTGGCTACTCTATTGTTCTCTCTATTGTTCTTTTTAGCCACACAAAAGAAAATAGCCACATAAAAGCATTACGGAATGAATGACATCAAAGAGAAAGAACAGTTACCTATTGTCCCTCTAGCCACATAATTACTCTCCTGTGAGTGCGGGCAAACAGAGGAACAGACATACATCGGTATGGGACTATTTTTTAGAGCTTTTATGCCACCGCATCATCTGTCATGTGGTGGCATATTGTGATTCACCTGTGTGTGTTTCAGGCAAATCTACAGGAGCCAGATATAAAAATTGGTATAAAACATTTTCCATTTGACTTCAATCAAATTTAGCCCTAGGGTCAAACTGGGTCATCTCCAATGTGTACTTATTTCTGTTGCTATGAAATCCTGACTATATGCACTATGTCTTTTTTGACTAAGACTAATGATATGAAGACGAATTAAATCACAGTAAAAAGATTCATTTTGAAAAAAAAAATTAAATAAGAGATATCAAATATATGTACCTCCAAGTGATTAATAAAATGGAAAATGTACCAGGGCATGTACTCATTTACCAAGGTTTACACAAAACGTGAGTGTGAATTTACTTGATTCCGTTTTGGTCCTGGATGTATAATGAAAAAAAGAAAAAGGCACATTGTATTGTTTTTTATTTACGGAGCCCCTAAGGTGACATTCTCGACACTTTTACACCGGCATTTAATTCGTTTTTACGAAATATTAATTCGTTATTACGAAATATCAATTCGTTTTTACGAAATATTAATTCGTTTTTACGAAATATTATTTCATAATTACGAAATATTAATTCGTAAAAACGAAATGTTATTTCGTAATTACGAAATATCAATTCGTTTTTACGAAATATTAATTCGTATTTACGAAATATTAATTCGTTTTTACGAAATGTTATTTCGTAATTACGAAATATTATTTCGTTATTACGAAATATTAATCCGTAAAAACGAAATGTTATTTCGTAATTACGAAATATTAATTCGTTTTTACGAAATCTTATTTAAGGTCATTTTGAGCTTGATAATGAACCTATTAATCTCACAAATGGGTCATTTACATGCCTTGATCAACTTTGCGATTATAAGCCGAATGGTTCTCAAGTTATTATATTTAAGTGAACAGGGTTTTTAAGTGAGAAGTCATTCTCTATCCAAAATGGTCTTTTTCCCCATTGTCAAATACATGTTCCTATCAGCAATGTTTTAATGTTTGAGGCAATCTTTTACGATATGTATCTTTAAAACAGAAACATGCTATATTATTCCGTTCTTTTATCATATACATAAGTAAAACTAATGGGACGAGGAGGGGGTTTGTCCAGATTTCACTAATCTAATCAATTTAAAATGAATATTTCCTCACAATTTAGTATTAGAAATGTCCGTGTTTGGATTTGAAGCACAGGACCCCCATTTTAAGTAAATTTTCCTAGCGCGTGTCTATCACGGCTGTGGCTCAACGCTATTGACATGCGAATATTTTAATTTATGTACAATAGTGTAAAGTTAAAAAACTTGGGGAGAACAAAAATCACTATTTATATTGCATGTACATGCCTTATATTAAGTCAGGAACTTAGTTTTGAGGCCTTATTTATAAATATTACCAAAACTCTTTGAAACGCTAGAAATAATTTAATTCGTTTTTACGAAATATTATTTCGTAATTACGAAATAACATTTCGTTTTTACGAATTAATATTTCGTAATTACGAAATAATATTTCGTAATTACGAAATAATATTTCGTAAAAACGAATTAATATTTCGTAATAACGAATTAATATTTCGTTATTACGAAATAATATTTCGTAATTACGAATTAATATTTCGTAATTACGAAATAATATTTCGTAATTACGAATTAATATTTCGTAAAAACGAATTAATATTTCGTAAAAACGAAATAAAATTTCGTAAAAACGAAATAATATTTCGTAATTACGAATTAATATTTCGTAAAAACGAATTAATATTTCGTTATAACGAATTAATATTTCGCATTTACGAATTAATATTTCGTAAAAACGAATTAATATTTCGTAAAAACGAATTAATATTTCGTAAAAACGAAATAATATTTCGTAATTACGAATTAATATTTCGTAAAAACGAATTAATATTTCGTTAAAACGAATTAATATTTCGTATTTACGAATTAATATTTCGTAAAAACGAATTATTATTTCGTAATTACGAATTATTTTTTCGTAAAAACGAATTAAATTCCGGGGAAAAAAGTGTGGAAAATGTCACCTTAGGGGCACCGTATTTATTAAACAATGAAATAGGAATAAAACTTATTAAACAATTTTAAAACAGTACACAGACATCAAAGGAGGGAAAAGCCTTTCTACACATTAGTTAAAAATGCTGTTTACAGAAAACCTTCAAGTTGTTCAAATAAGTCCTCCATTACGAAGAAGTGTTTTGTAATATAACAAATGACGATGATGCTCTACTGATGATGAAAATGATGTTAATTAATTGATTATGACGTACTGATAGTGATAATAATGATAATAGTACTGATGATGATTGAACGGGTAATGATGATTGTAATTATGATAGTTTGATGATGATAATCTTTATGACAATAATGATGTACAGGTGTTGATGATGACAATGCACTTATTACTGCTATGATGATGATGCATTGACAATGATAATGATGAAATGCATTAATGACGATGATAATGAACATATTATGATGAATATGATAGTGATGATGTGTTTGCTCTGTTGGTGTTATAACCTATTATAGTAAAAAGACAGTGGTGCTGGGTAATAGTCGAGACACGTTGGCGGATTCAATGTTTAAACTTTTATTCAAAAGAAAGATTTTATGTATATAACATATTCGTTGGTGATATTATTTCTTGGTAATGTGTTACCCTTAACGTATTTAGCATTTGAGTCGCGTCATGACAAAACCAACATAATGGGTTTGCGACCAGCATGGATCCAGACCAGCCTGTGCATCCGCGCAGTCTGATCAGGTTAATGCTGTTCGCTTATCAACCCTATTACAAGTAGAGAAACTGATAACGAACAGCATGGATCCTGATCAGACTGCGCGGATGCGCAGGTTGGTCTGGATCCATGCTGGTCGCAAACCCATTATGTTGGTTTTGTCGTGACGCGGCTTATTTAATAATTTGATAAAGCTAAGCCCCCACCCCAAAGCCCTATGGCTTGATAATTAAGAGTGTATGTCTAGCAAACTATTTCTTGACCGAGGTTCATTTTTCTTTTAAACGTTTGTCCATTGTGTATAAAATCATTCGTTTTGCACGTCTTATTCATATGAAGAATATGGCAGTTATATAAGCGGAGTAAAGGGTAATTGAGAAACACTGTGGTTAACTTTCGCCGATATATAACTTAAATACTATTTTCATATGATCTACTCTAATGTTTATGAGCTGCATAAAAATATTTTAAAAAATGAAAATAAATACCCCGCCTAAGAGTCGAAATCAGAACAGCTTGCACACAAAGCGAGTATTCTACCACTACACACTACTTTGCAATCTGTATTTTATTATGCGTAAAATATGTGCAAGAAGAATAATTATTTTATAAGAATATTCACTCAGGGAACACACTTTAAATCCGAAATTCATAATAGTGCACTTCAATTTTATTATTTTATGCACGAAATAATAGAAATGAAAAAAGTGTGTTTTTTGTATGATGATTGCCTTTAATACCAGCGTGCAACTATATAATGATAAACGGAATGAAAAAATATTTCAAAGGGAAAATTCTACATATACAAGTAATATTCAAATTACCAAGTATTTTCTGGCTTTCTGGTGGATGTATGGGGAAGGGATGTTACCATATTATAGAACAATTTATTCAAGAAATATATTTTAGGTTGTTCTGAATAAATTCAATATCCGAATTATGCTTGGTAGTTTGGTTTCGCGCGATTAACAAACTGATTTCTCGGTAGATATAGGGAACGGGGTATCACCATGTTGGACAATAAACTTTATTGTTATTTATCAGTTATATTTTCGCGAATAACCCACTGAGTCATCTAGCGAACGAAGGGAGACAGGGTGTTTCCATGTTGGAGAACATATTTTCTACCAACAAGAACCCCTCTCATATTCTATGTTCTTTTAAAAGTGTGTTTTGTTCGGCTATTTAATGCTAGTGATTGTGAATTGAATTACCAACTACCACCTTTAAAATAGTTGGAAATTACGAAACGATTAACTACATCTGTATCAGAAAAGAAGTTCTTAGATTTCCGAAGATCCAACTACTAATCAAAAAAAAAAATTGACGCCCATAATTCATACACATTTACTACTTCTTGTTAAAAACTGGTGATGAAAACAAAAATATCTAAGGACATGTAAATGTATGAGTGAAGCGTCGATGTATTATATTCTAAAACCAATATATGCTTCAGATCAATTACAAACATTCGTCAGCATTTTTCTATGCTTAATGACTACAATCATGTTTGACGTTGATTGTAGGTGAATATCCGTGTTCCTGAAGCAAGTAAATGCAACCTGAAACAAATGGCTTTTGTTTAATATAATGAACAGTCTGGTTTAAAGAATTGCACTTATCCTTTTATACCAATATTTAATAAAAAAACAACTAACCACATCGTTTTAGTTCATTTTAAGAAAGGATATAATCGATCATATCAAACATATATTTAGTTATTACCAAAAAATGTGATAATCTTACCTTGTTTATGTATCTAAATCCATTTCTGTCCGCAAAATCTTTCACCCAGCGATCTTTTGCGTGGATTTCTACTAACCATTCATTACTGAAATCACATATGCAACAAAGGAACAGATGAGAAATAATAAAGGCAAAAATATTTAGTTCTTTTACACTAATCATGATGTTTAAAATTCAAAATGAAACACTTGGCTGAAACTAAAGTATAAACTGATAACATTCTACTGATATGGAAAAGTTTAAGATTTTCAATCAAGTTTAAACAAACTATGCATACACCGACGTATGACACACGAGATATTTATATCGATTTGTCGTAAACGAATGGCCGTTTAAATTTACCATGGATATTATCAGTAACATATTTGTTTTTTTTTTCTTTGTACAGAGATGACTTCCTTATTTAAAAGCAACATTCGATAACGCAATATATAAATACATTTTGTATATGATTGAATAGCGGAATTGTTGAGATCGATAGCTTGCATGATTCAAAATCACCTTATCACGTTTTACCTTTCAGGAAATACTCCACGTCGGTGAGTACTACTTCGGTGTTTTATTTTGTCAGTAAATCCCCCAACCCTTGTCTAATCACGTGCCACCAAACACCGAGATCAAAGTAGTCGGATATTGATATGCGTCAAATTAGAAAAAAAATAAGTTAAATTTCAAGGTCATAAGGACAAACTAATAAGCTTTATGTCATCAACATCCATCGGTTAAAAAGTGATACCTCGCTTCGACGAATAAAGCTCCCCGTCAGCCAATAGGATTAAAATAAAGAATGTCGCCTTCAGGAAAAGGTTGACTAAGAACCATTATTTGTTGTGAGTGGTACCAATTCTTTTATCATCAACATTATCAACACATTCACCATTTTTGTCATCTTGATCACCGTAATTATCACCATCTTTAACTTCATCATAGGCATTTCAATAATCAACTTCATAATCATTATTGTCATCAGCTGTATAAATATCATCATCACCACCTCTATCAAAATTATAATTTTGATCACCTCTGTCATCACGTTCATCACCATCACAATCATCAACACCTGTAGCGTCATTATTAAAACCATGATCACCCTCATTGTCATTGCAATCATCATCACCTTGATCATCATCATCATCATTTAAATCTATATCACGTCCATCATCATTTAAACAGCATTACAGTCATAATCGCTATCAAAATCTAATTATCACACCCTTTATTAACATCGCAATCATTAAAAGAATTATCACTTACATCATCATCATCATTATATTCAGCATCAACATTATAATCACCAGTATCGTCACCGTCGCTAAATATGTTTGATCCGATATCCGTTGTATTAGTTTTTATTTAACCGTTATTCTTAATCTGATTCAGTTTCAAACGGATTGATGTTGGTCTCAATATCAAATATTAATAATATTGAAAAATATCAGACAAGTACGTTAAACATGATTTGCTTAAATATGATCCCCTTTAATAAAATTGATTTTTTTCAATGTTTTGAGTTGTAGATGTTTCGTATGATGCTGATTATGCACTAATGATGATGTAATGATGGTGATTATAATTATGTTGATACTATATGATTGTGATGGTTCCGATGATGATATGATATGAAAAGAAGGAGATTGATGATGTGTAAAAAACAGACATCATGGTTAATCTAGACTTTTTTTGACAAAAATGATTGATAAGTTGTTAAATTTTGAAAATTTTGTTTTTAATAAATTTATAGTTTATGATGTTTTCCCAAATATGACTTATGATTATTCTTGAGTTTGATATAAAGGAAAAAGGATATGATGTTTAAAAATGAATTTTGTGATGTTTAAATGTGTTTCTCCTGTTTTTTTAAAATGGCGTTGATTATGTCGATGATGAAAATGATGACTAACTGATGGTATGATGATGATAATGTATTAATTCTACACCTGCTGCTGATGATGAGTATGATGATGATTCTTATAGTGATGATAACGATGTACTGATAATATGATCATAATGTCCATGATGGTCATATGCTGATGTACTCATAATGATAATGGAAGCTATATCCGTCCACAAAGGAAATTATAACATAAACAACGTCCATTGATTGGGAGGTATATTGTTGTAAGGAATCCATAGAGAGCTCTATTCGTCGAAGATTGCATGCGGCGTAACAAAACACATACAGTTCCATTATTCTTTTAAGTGGGAAGGTTCACATTATACAATTATTAACTAGTGAGCTATTTAATATGATTAGGCTAAGAATGCATTTTTTTCTAATCACAATAAGTTTGTAATCTTATACAACTTTTGTAAATTTTAATTAAGAAAAATTATTTTGATTTGATTGTGATACTTTTCTTTGTGTATGTAATTGAATGATAACTTTTCGGCAAGATTTACTTAAATTGAATAAAGCAAAAACAATATTATCTTTTTGATACTTTCGATAATTTACGTAACATCAGTAAATTAAAACTAGGATGCTTGCAATCTATATAAATCAACAATTTTGACTGAATTTGCACTCATTTTATGAATAAGTTTGGTTTTATTGGTTTACTTACCAAAATAGAGGAAAAAAACGTTTGCATTTGTCACAAAATCGACATTTATTCGATTGAAATGTTTTCTTTGACGTTGTGTTCGGAGCCTTCATTTTGAACTCATGTGCCGTTTTCTATGGTGACGTGGAGTTTGTGAAGGCAGTGATTTGAGAGTAGCCAATCAATTCAATGTGAGGAGTTTACCAGTGACTATGATTTCATAAATAGATATGTTGACTACTGTTTGGATTAATCAGATTGCAGCTATATTTAGATAATATAACACTACAATTTAAACCGTTTAATTTAAAAATTCTTTACTATCCTTAACAGTTATCACTCATCTATAATAATATTATCAATTACAATTATTACTAAATTGAAGGTATATATGGTGTCGCACATCTGCCACCACTTAACCATCTAATGTGCTTAATATGCAATTACCGCATTAATGTATCCTTATTGAAAATGTGTTTGCTATTAATTAAAAAGAATTGAGCAGGTACGTAAAAGTATTCATTTTATTTTTATTATATCTAATATATTTTGAGACAGGAATTATATATAATTCATTTGAGTAACATTATACTTAATATTTTGCTGTCAAGTTCAGTTAAATAAGTACATATAATATTTCAAAGAAGTGGCTGTTATAATGGTGACAACCAATAATTGATAAAGAAAACTGTTTTTGATAGTTACGATATAAAAACTATCTACATTGCAATTAGTCCCGAGAATGCTTTTGATATATATTTGTCAAGATTGATTTTGTAATATCTTTATCGTTTTATTTTATGTTTGTTTTAGCAGCACAAATCTGATTAAATTCATTTTAATATCAGTTTTGAGACATTTAGATTAACTTTTATTTACACTTTATTTCACGTTGATACGTATATTCAAACTCAATTCATAAGTATTTAAGTGCGTCAAAGGAAACACACTTTAGTTAAATTTTACTGTCACGTTGATTTTAGTGTGACGTCACGTCAATTGCTTTCTATCTGGTTCGTGCCGTTGCTATATATATTGAGAGAAGTGAAGAAACTTGAGATTCATAAGTATTTTGGGGACAAACAAAACAATATGTTCCCGAAAAGGACCTTTATTATTGTCTTTGTAAGTTTTTTCTAAGGAAATAACACTGAGAAGTTGAAGCAAGTCCAAAAGCTCAGAGAGTCCAGACGCCCAGCAGGTCAAGAAGCGCAGCAAGAAAGCGTACCCAGACCAGAGCGCAGCAAGTCCAGAAGCGTAGCGAGTCCAAAACGCAGCAAGTTCAGAGCGCAGCATGTCCTAAAGCGTAGCGAGTGAAGAAGCGCAGTAAGTCCATAGCGCAGCAAGTCCAGACCACAGCAAGTCCAGAAGCACAGCAAGTCCTGAAGCGTAGCGAGTAAAGAAGTGCAGCAAGTCCAGAAGCGCAGAAAGTCCAGAAGCGCGTAGCGAGTCAAGAAGCGCAGCAAGTCCAGAAACGTAGCGAGTCAAGAAGCACAGCAAATACTGGAGCGTAGCGAGTCAAGAAGCACAGCAAGTACTGAAGCGTAGCGAGTCAAAAATCACAGAAAGTTCAAAATTGTTATATATGTGAAATAGAGTGTGGCAGTTATTTCATATTTTAGGCAGATTTATATTTTATCTTTATTATTTTTTAATATCAGCAATTAGTCAATCACTATTATATCAATCACATGAGTTATATACTTCCTTCAGATTAATTTGACAGTGACAAAAAAAATGCCAATTAAAATAAAAGGGTTAAAATAGGAATAGGTATAGATTTACGTCAGCAAAAAACCCTTACAAGCATTTCAATATTTACACAATCTTCACAGAATGATTAAGCCAAAATGTTTAAAACATTCCTTATCAAAGAAAGATAAAAAAGGAAAACGTTGATTGGATAAATGCTATCAGTTAGGAAGCAAATAAAGAAAGAAAAGGTCCAACAAATCACTTTATATCATTTGAACATATTCCAGCGTAAATTTGCTGATTATTTATTTATGTATTTTTTTCAATTTTACAGTGCGGATATCTTTCTTTTTTGTTAATCTGTAATTTCTCAAAATGCTCCAAAGCGGCATTTTGTTTGTTTTGATTTATAGTCGTAAGTATTGCTTTAATTACATGTTTTTTAAAAATATATTTGTAAAAATATTTAAGTCTAAGACTAAAAATGGTAATACGATTATTTTGACAAAACTATATCGTTCATTATATCCTTAAAATGTAAACACTGTTAAGTTTTTCTATTTTATTGCTTGTGCAAATATATATTTGTTTTCCAATAAAATATGGTCGAACTGTTTATTGTATCATAGTTTGGGGACCTTCTGTTGGAAATATGTCTAGAGTTAAATCGTATACATTTACATGCACAGTGCGTGAACTGGCGTGCAGGTATTAGTTACCTGCACTTCAGAGCATGTCCATTGATTGGTCATTTTTGCTGGGGTTTACTTATTGTGACGGCAGAGAAAGAGAAAGCGATAGAACATCATATTCAGATGCTCTTTCATTGGTTACTTTTCTCAGGACTTTCATATTGTGACAAAAGGGAACGTGCTTTCATGTTTACATAAAACATCAAAACACTCGGCAATCTGATTTATATTGAGCAAACTATATTGAAGGCAGTGAAATGCAATACATTTATATCGTTAGTATCGCTTAATAATTCTGTATCTTTAAATTTAAATTATTTTTGTCAAATACCTTTTTATGATTGTATTATTTAAAATGAATCGCAACACGTGTATTTTTGTAAATCGGCAAACTATCGATCAGCCTTATAAATCAACTGTTTAAAAAAAGTTTTCAAACACTAAATTGGTTAGTGTTTATTTGTAAGCATTAACTGTGCCGTTCTTACCCAATTAAGTTTTGTAAGTGCTAACTAAAAAACACTAGCCTCTACTAAATGACAATTTACAGTTAACATCGAGTAAGTAATATGAATGAAAATCATATAGGATGTCATAATTTGGCTGCAAAGCAGCCGAGTCTTATATGATTTTGAATAAGACGCATGATTTACCGTGAAATGACACGATTTATTTTGCGAGTCGTAAATAAAAACACAAGTACATAAAAACATTGACATACACCAGCTTTACACTTTATGACCAATTTTGAATTTTTGGCTATTGTTGAAAAACATTTTTATTTACATTTTCTTCGAATGGACAGAAAATGTTTTCTTATCTCCGCAACAAATAATGGACTGTGCAACTGTTAAAACTGCTAAAAAGAAATCTGCTAAAACACGTTGTCTCCACCCAAAGGGAACTGTTTTGTATTTGGGTAAAAACGCATCAATGTAAGAGCTGTTGGATTGCACTGTCTAAAACATATCAATTTTTCAATATATCCATTTGTTGACTTTTTGAAACTAGGAAACGAGTTTTGAAAAAAAATCTTTTAAAGTATTGTATTTTTCTTTTGAAATGATTTGGATAGTCATGTCCGGACATAAATTTCATTTCAAAAACTGAAATAGCCGCCTTTTATATAGAAGAGGGGGGTAACACATGTGCTTATTTTTATTTGTTATATTTGGTAAAGGGTGGATTGCCTTTAACATCTAATATACTGCGTTAATGCTGAAATTTGATGTTTTATCGTTGGTCACTTGCTTATTAAGAGTTTATATATAGTTTTATCGGGATATATTTAATAAATGTTTAAGGCACAAAGATAAACCACTACGACCAACACTGTCTATATATAAATAAGACACACGGTGTGAAATTCCTGACACATTACGACCGAAGCGTATCCGTCATGTCACCGTATAAAATGAATACTACTAGTACTTACCTAATAGAATTTTCGTGTCGTAACGCTTCCCCCTTTAATTGCAACAACTACGCAGATCTAAACAAACATTCCTCTATGTATCATTTTATTCGGCTCTTCTAAAGGTATGCAGTGCACAACTGATCATTCCTTTGCAACCATTTTACGCGTGCGTAAACCTTGTCTTTAACTGACATCGCAACGGTCATGTCTGCATCTGAAAATATGCAAATGTAAACACGGTTTCCCATACTATGTGGCCTAGATTTTACGCTAGGAATTATCTAAAATATTTCTGCAAATAGCACGGATATTTGATCTTAAAATGTTACATCTAGAGTACTTATAAGTTGTTTTCATAATTGAACTTTGTGACCTAGTAGTTGATCCAAAATGACAACTATTTGAACATGAGATAGAAATCATTGCAATCACCTTTTTTGATTACTGGTTATTTGAGATGACAATGTAATTGTGACTTAGCTTTTATACCTATGATGACCAATATTTGAACTTAGCTAAATCATTTTTGTCAAAATTTTAAAATTATATTTGAGCTGAAAATCATAGTTCTAGAGTGTTAACAATTTTCTTTTCTAAATTTGGTCTGTGTGAAAAATTGTTGGAAAAATAATTCAATAAGAAAAAAGAAATAAACTTTAAAATTTTAATGCCTACTCAAAATTGATATTTCAGTTTAACATAAGGAAGAACAATTATACAATATCGAACGTGACAGTTATAGAGAAATATCATGGTCCATGATTGGGTCTCGGTTTGCGCCTCGATCATTTTTCTTTTCTTTTTGGAGATAAAAAAACTCAGTGTCGACACAGGCCATGGTATTTTCACATAACAGAATTGTCGCTAAACTATATCTTGTCATTAACGTTTATAGTGAGTAAGTTGCATTAAAATGTAGGGCCATTAACAGCCTCGAATATGATGTGCGTTTTAAACTATATACAACTGGAAATAAGTTGAGCACACACGGCATGAGCCTCAATTATGACATGACTACAACTGAAATTTTAAATTTTATTTGGCAAAGGTACGAACCACCTGTAGTCAACCTGCAAAAACTGGAACACGCTCTGCACCAAAAATGGCAAATTTTACCTCTAAATCGCATTCGACACCTTACTGTTACTAAAAATATCCACCATTAAATGTTTTGTAAACGCTCCAACACCATACTTATACTCACATTTTTGGTGATAAACAACACATTTGCTTATGCTCCAGTGATTTTGTTGAGCAAAAAATTAAACTGATAAATTTACTGGTTTATGTTTACTAACTTTGTATCACTACTTATCAAATTTCTTTTTCTTAGCTCAATTAAGTCGTCATCTCATGACAGTGCTTTCAATCACAACCAATTTTAAATTTCCAGGGTGTGCTAAACTTTTTTCCAGGTATTATTAATTTATCTCTAAACGATAGTACTAATCGATTACCTAGACAAAGCGTTGACATGATATTGGTAAAATATAATCTCAATTTATGTAAACATTTTTTATCATTATTGACTAGATATCAGCGTCATTCTGAGTAAAGATGATCCCTGCAATAGCTTTCTTGAAATAAACGATACCACGATGTCAGTAGCTTATACAGTGAGTGACAATGACCCGATATCCTGTAAGAAACTCAAGCCATTTTTATGGTACAGATACATTGGATCAGACAAGGGATACTTGACAAATGTTTGTCCAAATAAAGGACAATGTGGAAGTCGGTCACAAATTTGGTTCAAAGGTAGATATTTACACTGTTATTGAATACACGATCTCCTGCTGGGTTCTAGATCAACTGTAGATTAAATTTGTTTTTGCTAGAACATCAATTGTTAAAAGTGCCCGGAACAGTATTACCTCTACCAATTGCTGCAAAATACTTTCCTAACAGTTTTATGGTTAAGCAAATACTTAAATATTTTAATAGCAGATGCAACACAATTAAAATACGAAAACAAAGATTTTTTTATTCTTAACTTATGTTATTCGTTCCTTTCCCCCATGATGTAAATTGTATAACAATTTAAAACTCTAACCGCATATCATTTCATTCTCTATGTTAGGCACTGTGCCAAGTGTGGATGATGGCGAAACACTGGCACGTGTTTGCATTAGTAAAGATGGCTCATGTTGCAATTTACACAGCCGATTAAAGATAAAGAATTGTACTGATTTCATTGTATACTTTGTGATTCCAACCTCTCCCTGTACTCATTACTGCTTTGGTAAGTATTCATTTGCGTACATAATCATAAATAATGTTTAAAAGTCGGCATATAAATTTTTTCAACAAGTTGTATCTGCTTCAATATTATTTGTATACACCTCTCTAGAAGTGTTTGTTTCTTTGTCTATCTTTGTGCGTCTAATTTGTCGACTCAGTCATATCTCGTTGGTCAAATTACTAACCGGATTCCCTGGTGACCTGTTGATCCGCGATTGATCGACTACTAATCCCACATCACTTCCTATCAGCGTAGAGAGATAATGACCATTTGAATTGATGTCAGAGATCAATGTCACGGGAAATTACGCCTTACCCGATGATCTCTAACCCGACGTTATCCATATGTAGCTAATCGGGCAAATTAATGGAAAACAAAAATAGTGTTTATCAACATCCGACCTTCAGTATCATTCAGTTTGCTGGCAGTTTCATTACAAACAGACACTTATTTAACCTAACTAAAAGAGTAGGAATGGAAGACCAAATTATATTTTTACAATATACAGTAAACTTCACTTATAGCGAACACGGTTAAAGCGAACTTCCGGTGATAAGGAACAATTTAATTTGGCCTGAATTTTGCCCTTCATTATCTAACATAAAAATATACGGTTTAAGCAAAAACTGTTATAAGGAAATACCGCTTATAAGGAACTCATTTCTTAGTCCCAATTTAGTGAAAACTACAGAAAATTACACTTTTATAACGAACTCCAAAATACCGGTTATCCGTAAATAGATCATTGGCATGGATTAAAACTCAATTTTCAATTTAAAAAGGAAGAACAAATCGAAAATCTTGTTTATTCTTAATATTGGAAAGAAAACGAAAGCACTGAGTTTAGAAACAAAATATTTTTTTATGAGACATTGAGAAAGGGACTAAAACTAAAACTGAAATAGCAAAGGATTTTCAAATTCCAAAAAGAACGCTTTCGGGTATTGTGTCTAAAAAGGAATTAAATGACACATTTTTCTTAATCAAATGCTCTTAAAAAAGGCGGACGATGTTAAACAATCAGTTCATTTTTGTAAATCTGTTCGCTATAAAAACTCCTGAAACAAGGAACTAATTCGCAATATGCTTACAAGGAACTCCGGATATAAGGAACAGATTTTGAATGTCCCAATGAGTTCGTTATGAGCAGAGTTTACTGTATTTGTTTCAATTATGATTCTATTTAACCATGCGCAACATAAAATTGTGTTTACCAGCGGATCTTAAAATGATAAAATATATAGGGTGATGGGCATGTACTATCATCAATCGCTTGTTTCACCATAAAGACTTTACAAAACGCGCTTGATCTTAGCAGACTATACGAGCGCGTATTTCGAAATTGTGTACCATTCAATGAAGTCTATTCAAATCAAAACATAATGATAATAAAAATAAAAATATGTCTACAATATTTTATTCGCTAAATATGTTTTTCCCAGAATAATCACTTTTCATTGTGCAAAATTAAAAGATTGCAACACTTAAAAGTCATATCTAGTTAAGAATTATTTAAAAGGGGTCATTTACTTAAACTTTATCACTGTTATCTTCCTTTTTTCACGTAGTTGTTTTTTAAGATCATGTAACACAATTTTTATGGTTTTATATCGTATGATGCTCAAATTAAGATTTATCAATATTGTAAGTTCCAAAAAGCATTATTGATAAAGATATTACCGAATTTAACATTTCATGCAAATAAAGTGAGGTAATTACAAATTTATTTTCTATAAAGTCCAAGTCAAATATTTCAATAAGAAATGAATGCATATACATGTATTTTAATGATTACATATAATGTGCACAAATATTTACAGTACATATTTTTACATATTCTTCGATGTTTTAAAATTGTTTTATATTATATATATATATATATATTTTACTTAGTGTGGTTAACCACTTTGATCACAACATGCAGGATCTTTAATGCTTCCGAGTGATCACTTTTTTCCAGATATTTAGAAATCACAACATCAGCCCGGCATCTGGTGCCATGTGCTGTGTGACAGCCGTAGACAGTTTCCACGTACTTCATTTCAGTTTTGTTGTATTTTTTCTGGTGCTTCGGGATCATTGATTCAGGCATTTTAAGTGATAAAATTGAATGCCACTCAAGCCGGTGCTATTATCGCGTGAGGGATGTTGCACTTTTCAATATGCCACATGTACAGACTGAATCAAACAGAGTCTGCAATTTTCATGCAATTTTGCAGTTTTCAATGCTTCTTAGGGATCAGTTTTTTTCCAGATATTTACCTATGCTAAAGATATGAAAGTGCAGTCTAGATAAAAATAGTAAATGAAAACTACTTGTGGTTGTTAAAATGTTAAACTGGTATTGCTCTTTGGAACGAAAACAACAGATTGAAACCTTCATACGGTGACAATATTTTGTAAAATGCAAATTGTATGAACCTTCATCATTTATTTAGGTATTGGCTAATTCTACTTTAATTCAACACGTTAATGTATAAAATAATTCTAATAAATTAATCTTCACACTTAATTATATAATTCATATAATTCGGTGTTTACAAAGACAGTTTACGCCAGAAAAGGTTTTCAACACGTTTATTACTTTTTCAATTAAAATTGCTTTTAAATTGTAGACTTAAGTAATTGTCTGCAATTCTTATGCCTCAACCATTAAAGGCAATCTCTTATCCACAAGGGGCGTTTATATTTAATTGTACATACTGCTAGGGCAGTGTCTAATTGAGGTATTATTTATCTTCTCCATAAGATATTCTCACTGCTCTTTCTACTCGGAACAGTATGGTTAAGTACGTTGTTCGATAATGAACAGTTCAGAGTACTGTTTAGTACTGTGAGGTTCAGTACTTCGCTAGTCATTTTTCTGTAAAGTATACTGTTTTGCCAAAGGGATAACGATACAATAGTAAGGCACAAATAGTTCTTCCCTGCCATTATTCTTTTCATTCTTGTAACATTTATATTTTCTATTTGGATGGCTTACTAGCACACAAACTAAACAAGACCCGAAGGATGGTATATATTTTATTATATGTGTTGCATCCAAGTATACACTCATAAACTCCCAAACATCAAGTAAACATACACACAGTAACAATAACGATATTTGATATTAAAGGCGTGGCTTATTATATCTTGTAGACTTGCTTACTACATCCTCCTCTATCTTTAGTTTAGAACTCATCAATAAAATCAATAAACTTAAATTATCAAAACTTTAAATTTAAATGTGCAAACATATTGTAATAAGAAATATTTTTCTTTTCGTATGAAATAAGCTATATAGCAAGTCTATTGTTATAAACTCTTCTCCTTTTTCAGCAGAGTTCATTAACCAATGCGATTTCTCTAATCAGTGTACTAGGCATCTGTTTCAACGAAGTAATGATAAATATAATGCTATTGTTAATTGTCATATCTGTTTCTAGTTTTCGAAATGTCACAAAATATCAAGCAAATTACATTATTATCACAACATTTGTTCAAACAACTAGCATTGTTATCAAAAGAATGATTTGTTTTTCCGTTCTACCACACAAAAACCAATTATAAGGTAATTTAATAAAAACCAAAAGTAATAATTTCACGAATAACAGAATGTTCTCACATACGCTATCATTTGTCCTAGATTAATAAATCCAGCAAGCGGTTATAAATGATACACTGCTATATGATAGCGAATATAATTAGGGCATTATTATGGCCCACACATTTGAGTCATTAACCCTTATAGCTGTAACGAGAAATGGTATCATAGATTAAACCATTTTTTTTCTTCTTAATCTTCATAACGTCTCGGCGGTCGGCGTTTCCTCTGCGGCCTATTTCTAGGTAAAGATGTATTATCTGCAGGTTTCGTCTGCACCGGCTCTTGATCTCCATGAACATATCTAAATTTGGAAACGTCCCGTGTGATTTCTTTTACTTTATGTTTGATTGCAAGCATAGATCCTTTCATAGCGATGATTATCCCGGGGGTAGGATCAAACGCTGTTTCAAACTTATTCCGTTGTTCCCGTTTCAATAGCACACGATCTCCAAGTTTCAAATTATTTGGCTGAGCTCTACGTTTTTTTATCAGCGTATATTTTGTTTTTCGCTTTTGATAGACTGTCCCTGTCTCGAATATCTGTATCTTTGTTATCAAATGTCATCTTTGGTAATTTTGTCTTTAATTTACGATTGAACATTAATTCACTAGGAGCTGTTTGTGTAGTTGTTTGTGGTGTGTTCCAAAAATTCATAAGATATTTACTCTTTTATAATCTTGTCTAGACGCTATCGCTGTTTTAATTGCTTTTTGCAGTGGTGCCATAAATCTCTCAACTATTCCATTTGCCTGTGGGTGCAATGGAGTGATTCGTTTATGTTTGAATCCCGAATTATCAGCAAATTCTCTGAATGCGCGACTTTGAAACGGAGGTCCATTGTCCGTTTTCACTATTTCTGGATATTCGAATATCGAAAATATCGCCTCTAATCGCGGTATGACTGTATCTGCGGCTGTCGATTTGATTCTTTCAACTACTGGAAATCTACTGTAGTCACATATAACAACTAGTAACATGTAACCGTCTGGAAATGGTCCACAAAAGTCACAACTGACTTCAGAAAACACATCTCGTGGTAGTGATGTTGGTTTGATCGGGTCTGGAATAATTCTTGTTGATGCAGCTTGGCATACAATGCATGATCTACACATTTCGTCCACCATTCTATCCATATGTGGAAACCAGCAATATTCACGTAATAATCCTTTGCATTTTAATTGGCCTTGGTGACCTTCATGCGAAAGCATAACAGTTTGTTTTTGCAGACTTTCTGGTATGCAAAATTTTGTACCTCGTAAAAGCACAAATCCATCTTCCGTATATGCAACTGCAAGTTCTTGATTTTTATTCAAATTATCGTATAACCGAAAACTTTCATCTAATTTGCATTTTTGAGTTTTCCAGTCATTTTGTTCTAACGCATTTCTTACACAGCTTAATGTACAGTCCGTTTCGGTAGCTTTTGCTACATCTGACAGCTTCAATGCATCTGGCAAAGCGTTATCAGTAATAAAGCTGATATACTGCTCGGCTACTGTATTTGTTTCGTGTCTTGCATGTGGATGCCTGGAAAGATAATCTGATATCATCACTTTACCTGGTCTATAAACTGTCTGAAAATCATACGTTGTCAACTTCAAACGCCAACGTTCTAATCTTGGTGACTGTATTGTCTTGATATTGTTGAAGATTGATTGAAGTGCAGCATGATCTGTTATCAGTTTAAATTTCTTGCCGGATAAATACAAATGGAAATGCTGAATCATGATGACAGCACTCAAAGCTTCTCTTTCTGTTTGAGAATATCGCGTCTGAACCGAATTGTATGCTTTGCTTCCATATGATACTATTTTGCCGTTTTGAATAAGTATTCCTGAGCATCCAACTGGACTTCCGTCGACCCAGAGTTCAGTTTCCTTTCTAGGATCGAAATATGTCATGACCTTATCACTAATTAAGGTATCTTTTAATGATGTGAACGATTTTTCTTGGTCGGCAGTCCATTCAAATTTTACATCTTTATGTGTAAGTCGTCTTAATGGTTCTGTTAAGCTTGAATAGCCATCTATGAACTTAGACAAATAGTTCGTGAGATCCAGAAATGAACGGATTTCGGATATTGATTTTGGTCTGTCCATATTTTTCACTGCATTTACTTTGTCAGGATCGAGTGAAATTCCGGATTCGGAAAATACGTATCCGTAGAACTTGATTTTAGATTGTCCGAATGAACATTTTTTGCTGTTCAGTGTGAGGTTTCTATCTTGAAGACGTTGCAGTAAAGCGCGAAGATTTGCGTCGTGTTCCTCATGTGTCTTACCAAAACATACGATGTCGTCGGCAATATTCAATATGCCTTTAAGACCTTGAAGTGCTTGACGAAGCTCGTTTTGGAAAATTATCGGTGCTGCGGATACCCCGAAATTTAGACGTTTATACCGGAATAGTCCAATATGTGTCTGAAACGTTGTCATTACACGTGATGCTTCATCCAATTCAATTTGATGGAAAGCTTTGTACAGATCTAGACGTGAAAATACCGTTGCGCCGTTAAACGTCAAGATGATATCATCCACCGTCGGGCAAACATTTTTCTCTGTTTTGATTGCGGTGTTAGCTTTCCTCATATCTACGCACACTCTCACTTCATGCGGAGCATTAGGTTTCGGAGCCGCTACTAAGTTCGAAACCCATGGTGTCGGTAAACCTATAACTTTTTCAATGACATCTATTTCCTCTAAACTTTTCAGTTCCTTTTCGACTTGCGCACGTACATGAAATGGAACTCTCCTAGGCGGTTGAGCTACAGGTACAACACTTCATCAATATGAAACTTAACTTTTCTGTCTTTCAGACATCCTAAGCCTGTGAAAACTTGAGAATATGCTTCAATAAGTCCTGAATATGCGTCTTTGCTTTGAACTGATTTTTGAACTGATTGTATTTGCGGTAAAATCCCAAGCTCTACCGATAATTCATAACTGATCAATGATTCTTTGTTGCCTTTAACGATATGGAAATCTTTTGTCATAAATTTTGAGTCCGACTCCACAAGCAGGGAACATTTGCCTATGAATGGAAGTGGAGATTTCTGCCCAAATGCGAATGCTTTTGTTTTCGTTTTCTTGATTTCAGGACGAATTTTCATTTTCTTGAGGTCGATTTCGCTAATAATATTTAACGATGAACCGCTATCTATCAACACATTAACATCTACTCCATTTAATTTAATGCATTTCTTTGGCACTTTTATCCCATCTGACATTTTAAATCCAAATAAAACATCGCACTCATTTGAACTGACGCTCGGTGTGCTTGCTTTTGATAAAACTTGTGAATCCGACTGTTCATCATTGATTAATTTCACCTTGTTTTGACGTTTTCTGCAGACCGATATAAAATGATTCTTCTTATGACAGTAATTACATTCGCTCCGATAGCAGGACAACGTGACATATGGGGATACTTTCCTCCACAATTTCGGCATTTTTTATTTCGTTCTGGAGGGTGGTTTCGCCTTCCCGACGACAAACTTGCTTCTGGGATAGTTTGATATGAACGTTGCTGATAACGTTTAGGTGCGAATCCCTTTGATTGACGGCTAAATCGAGGATTGCTTTTTACCCGCACTACTTGCTGACTACTTGTATCCTTTGACATATTTGCTGCTTGAGTTTTTGATATTTCCATGGTTCTCATTTTTGTAAGTAAGTCATTAAGTGATTTATCCGGATCTTGTAAACACTGCATTCTCATGTTTTGTGAAACAACACCCTGTATGATCTGGCTTTTAATTTCTGAGTCAATGTCCGAAAATTCACAATTCTTAGCTTTCTGGCGTAATCTTGTTGTAAACTGGTCGATAGATTCTCCATTCAACTGCTTCATATTACGAAATTCGAATATTTCGAATTGTGTGTTTTTTCTTGGCTTAAAGTATGCTGTTAATCCAATTTTCGTTTCTTCGTAGTTTTCATTGTCTTCTCTTAAATTCAATGTATCATAGATATCGTAAACATCATCTCCTGCATAATGAAGTAACAGTGCTTTCTTTCGTTTTCTAGTGTTTATACCCAGTCCAACAAATAAGTTTTCTAATTTATCCAAATACTTTTCCCATCGTACTCCCAGAGAATTTTCATCTGCAAAAACATCGAATTTCGGAAAAGCAGGTAAATTATCCATTTTCAAATCTGTTTTTTTTTCACAGAGTCAGTTTAAATTAATTCACAGTTTTTTTTAATATCCCATCCTCGTCGCCAATGTAACATTTATATTTTCTATTTGGATGGCTTACTAGCACACAAACTAAACAAGACCCGAAGAATGGTATATATTTTATTATATGTGTTGCATCCAAGTATACACTCATAAACTCCCAAACATCAAGTAAACATACACACAGTAACAATAACGATATTTGATATTAAAGGCGTGGCTAATTATATCTTGTAGACTTGCTTACTACAATTCTGTATATGCGTCTTTCCTTCCACAACTCTTATCAGCCCTCGACAATCTATGACGTAGTCTATCATGACAAATAAAATATTTCATAATGAACCAAACATATTTTAGGACAATACGTCAGGAAGTATTTATTTTACTTGAAATTAAAAAATATTTAAGAATCTAGTAATGACAATAATATATGACAATTATGATATGTTTATGAATGAAATAAAGTTGGAATTTGCCTTTATTTATTATCATCCCGAATTAGTCACAACCAGTTACCCCTAGCTAAACCTGACCTGACCTGGCATATACTTTCTCCGAGACGTACACGCCTTGATAAGGATTTTTTTCGTTTGTTTGACTTCAACGGCGAAAATACCTCATTACTGGTCAAAAGCAACGAACACTCGCAAGGATAA